AGAATTTTGGAATGGATGTAGGAAAGGGGAAAGGGAGGTAGATATTGTTATAAACTAACAACACGAATGATACTTATAGTGCTGAAACTGTTCGGTATCATAAATGTGGTGGTGGATACACAAAACTGTAAGTGTGATAAAATTATCTTACACACATACACAAATGAGTACAAGTAATGCTGGAGATATCTGAGTGACATCAGTGGCTTGTATCAATGCCCATATCCTAGCTGTGTTATTATACTGTAGTTTTACAAAATGTTACCATTAGAGGAAATGAAATCTCTGAAAGGAAGGTGCATGAAATCTTTGTATTATTTATTACAATTGCATGTGAATCTACAATCATCTCAATAAAAATTTCAATTTACAAGAAGCTATTTTACATACCAACAAAAGATAATATTGAACCTCAATATTATGATAATTGAAAAGCTTGTTGTATTGTTTGTTGTGGGAAATATAATTAACTTGGAGAATAACACTCGTTCAATGACTTGCCAAAAAAGTAATTATACAAAAACCTGAAAATGGATAGAGGCTGGGCATGGTGGTTTACACTTGTAATCCCAGGACTTTGGGAAGCTGAGGTGGGTGGATCGCCTGAGGTCAGGAGTTTGAGACCAGCCTGGCCAACGGAGTGAAACCCCATCTCTACTAAAATACAAAAAAATTAGCCAGACATGGTGGTGGGCACCTGTAATCCCAGCTACTTGGGAGGCTGAGGCAGGAGAATCACTTGAACCTGGGAGGTGGAGGTTGCAGTGAACTGAGATCATGCCACTGCACTCCAGCCTGGGCAATAAGAACAAAACTCTGTCTCAGAAAAGGAAATGGAGGCCGGGCGCTGTGGCTCAAGCCTGTAATCCCAGCACTTTGGGAGTCCAAGGCAGGTGGATCACGAGGTCGAGAGATCGAGACCAACCTGGTCAACATGGTGAAACCCCGTCTCTACTAAAAATACAAAAAAAAATTACCTAGGCATGGTGGTGCGTGCCTATAATCCCAGGTACTCAGGAGGCTGAGGCAGGAGAATTGCCTGAACCCAGGAGGCGGAGGCTGCGGTGAGCCGAGATCGCGCCATTGCACTCCAGCCTGGGTAACAAGAGCAAAACTCCGTCTCAAAAAAAAAAAAAAAAAAAAAAGAAAAGGAAATGGATAGAAAACAGCTATATGAGGCAAACACTAACCAAAATAATATAATGTATAGCAGGCCAGGCGCAGTGGTACATGCCTGTAATCCCAGCATTTTGGGAGGCCAAGATGGGCAGAATGCTTGAGCTCAGGAGTTCAAGACAGCCTGGGCAACATGAATGATAAAACCATATCTCTACAAAAAAATATAAAAATCAGCTGGGCCTAGTACATGCCTGTGGCTCTAGCTACTTGGGAGAGTGAGGTGAGAGGATGGCTTGAACCCAGGAGGCAGAGGTTGCAGTGAGCTGAGATTGTGCCACTGCATTCCAGTCTGGGTGACAGAGCCAGACCCTGCCTCAGGAAAAAAAAAAAAAAAAAAAAAAAAAAAATATATATATATATATATATATACACACACACACACACACACACACACACATGTATGTGTGTGTGTGTAGCAATATTTATATCAACCATTTGATATAAATGGTTGATTATCAAAACAACCATTATGAATGAATGTTATTATTATAAAAAGGATCATTAATGATAAAAGAAAAAAATTATCTGGAATATTTAACAATTGTAAATTTGTATTACTTAACTAACATGGCCTTGAACAATCTAGAGCAAAAATTAAGGACAGAGAAAATGACAGTTTATAATCTTAGCTCTGGAGGTTTTGCTTAAAGCACTTTTCTTAGTAACTGATACATTAAGAAGCCAAAAATTTTTGTAAGTAGAATATTTGAACAACATATGAAACCCCTCAATTAGACATCACACATTATTATAAGAACATGTGGAACATTTATAAAAATCAATCTTGTATTAGCTTACAAAGAAGGCCTAAATACCAAAGAATCGATACTTCAGAGCAAGGGCCAGCCATCTGTGATCAGTAGACCAAATCCAACCTGCTGTTTTTGCAAATAAAGTTTTACTGGCACACAGCTATGTCCATTTATTGACATTATCTATGACTGCTTTCACACTGCAATGATAGAGTTAAGTAGTTGTAACAAAGAATATATGACCCACAAAGCTTAAAATATTTACTATATGGCTTTTTATAGAAAAATGGCTGACCCCTGCCATGAAGAATAGATTATTAGAACACAGTGCAGTGTTAGAAATCAGTAACACACACAGAGACAAATGTTTAGAAATTAAAACCCATACTTTGAAATAATTCAGAGATCAAAGAAGAAAGTCTAAATGAAACTTAAAGAATATATCAATATCTAACATTGAAAATGTACATTTCAAAATGTGAGATGCAGGAAAAGAAAATGTCAGAGAGAAATTTAGCCTTGAAAATGTTAATATTTATAGGAAAGATATAAAATTAATGTGCCACGTATTCAACAAGAAGCTAGAAAAGGATAGCCAATTGACTTTGGACAGGAGTGCCAAGACAATTCCATGGAGAAAAACTAGTCTTTTCTACAAATGGTCCTAGGACAGCTAGATGTTCACATACCAAAGAGTGAAGTCGGAACCCTACCTCACAACATATACAAAAATTAACTAAAAATGGATCAAAGATCTGGATGTAAGAGCTAAAACTATAGAACTCTTAGAATAAAACATAGGTATAAATCTATGGTTTCTTAGACAACAAAAGCACAAGTAACAAAAGAAGATCATAGATAAATTGGACTTAACGTTTGTGCTTCAAGGGCATTATCATAAATGTGAAAAGACAACTTACAGAATGGAAGAAATATTTGGAAATTATATATTTGACAAGAGCCTGTATTCAGAATATATGAAGACTAATTATAACACAACAATAAAACAACCCAATTAAGAAATGAATAAATAATTGAATAGATATTTCTCTGAAGAAGATATACAAATGACCACCAAGTACCTGGAAGAGAGGTTCAACATCATTAGTCATTGGGGAAATGAAAATCAAAACCAAAATGAAATGCTGCTTCATACCATTAGGATGACTACAATTAAAAAGATTGACAATCACAGGTGTTGAGGATGTGGAGATACTGGATGGAAACTGGTGCATTGCTGGTGGGAATGTAAAATGGTGCCATTGTTTTGAAAAAAGCGTCTGGTAGTTTCTCAAACGATTCAACACAGAATTACTATATGACCCAGCGATTCCACCACTAGACATATACCCAAGAGAAATGAAAAAACTATGTCCACAAAAATGTGTACGTGAATGTTCATAGAAGCATTATTCCTAACAGCCAAAAAGTGGAAATAACCTAAATATCCACCAACTGAAGAACAGATAAACAACATGTGGTATGTGCATACAAGAGAATATTACTCAGCTGTAAAATGTAGAACTGATTCATATTACAACATAGGTGATCCTTGAAAACATGCCAAGTGAAAGAAGCTAGACACAAAAGGCCACGTGTGGTGTGATTCAATCTCTAGGAAATGTCCAGAATAGGCAAATTCATAGGAACCAAGTCGATTACTGGTTGCCAAGGACTCAGGGAAGGGAGAAATGGGGAGTGACTGTTAATGGGTACAAAGTTTCTCTTTGGAGTGAAGAAAATATTGTAGAATTAGATAATGGTGGTGGTTCCACAACTTTGTTAAAATACTGAAAACCACTGAATGGGATTCTTTAAAAGGGTAAATATGGCATGTAAATTCTATCTCAATTTGTCTTTTAAAAAGAGAGAAAAGAAACGAGGAAAGAAATGTCAAGATAAAACAAATGAAGATGGAAGGAAGTAATAAAGTAAATAACATTAATGTAATAAAGAAAAATGAAAAGAATCGGCCAGGCGCAGTGACTCATGCCAGTAATTCCAGCACTTTGGGAGGCCTAGGTGGGCGGATCACTTGAGATCAGGAGTTTGAGACCAGCCTGGCCAACATGGTGAAACCCAATCTCTACCAAAATACAAAAATTAGCCGGGCTTGGTTGCACACGCCTGTAATATCAGCTACTTGGAAGGCTGAGGGAGGAGAATTGCTGGAACCCAGGTGGCGGAGGTTGCAGTGAGCCGAAATTCTGCCACTGCAGCCTGAGTGACAGAGTGAGACTCCATCTTAAAAAAATAAATAAATAAAAATTTTAAAAAAGAGTTGGCAAAACCGAAGCCTAGTTTTTAGGGGAAAAAGTATAAAAACTAGAGAGAAAATGCTCCAAGTGAGAATAATGAGGGATTCTAAGCAAGCTGACTGAAAACAAAACCTTCAACTATCTGACTGGCGAACGAAATGCATGCGGGCTCAGTGACCGGTGGCTGTGTTCTACTCCACTCACCTACCTCTGCCATTGAGGGGGCCCAATGCGTGGACCCAGAACCTTCCATCAACCCTCCTTGTGTTTCCCACGTTCCTGTCCTAAGTGTCCAGGTGCCAAGGGTTGGGAGTTTTATGAGGTTCTGCTTTTCCCAGGATTTTTCTTATAAAGAATTTTTCAAGTGGCACAGACTGGTCCACTTTCCTTGCTGTACTGGCCGAATTATTTCAAAATTTGCAACACTGACCGTATTAGATCAAGGCAAGGGACTGACCCAGTTCGTTCCTCAAATGCTTGCAGCTCTGCGCAGAAAGCACACCCTAAGCTCAGCCCCACCGAAAAAGCTGTGAGTTATCCCGGCCCATTTGATTCTGTGGCCCCATGTGACCTCTCTCAAGGCCTCAGACAAGCCAAACCACTCCCATCATAGCCCGGGACGTTTACTACAAGTACTCTTCCCCCATCTGGAAAACTACCACCCGGGGTTTCCAGATCCTGAACTGATGAAATCGTCCCTTTAGAGCATGTTTTAACATGCCCCTTTTGGATTTGTGGATAATAAAACCTTAGCCATAATTCACAGGAGGAATCAAAGGGCAAAGTCAATAGTAACCCGACTGTCTTGCAGATGGCCCGGAGAATTCCACTCTCCCGCACAGCCTTGGGACCTTGCATGCCGCAGCCGAGACTGTCTCCCCAAGGGTCCGCAGAGCCACAACCTCAAGAACAGAGAGGATATGGCCTGGAGGAGTCATCCCCTACGTCATTGGAGGGAACTTTACTGGTCAGTAGCCGCAGACAAGGCCTACTTTGGGGCAGGGTGCTTTGTCTCCCTGGGTGGAGAGAGTCCTTCCCGGAAGGACCTGGGTGGGATGGAGCTGATGTCCGAGACCACAGCAGGCCTACAGATGGTGTCCGCCTTGTGCCGGCAAGGCCTGGCCCACCAGTCCTAGGGAAATTGCAGTCTCTGTTGGGACTGTGTCCTCAAAGTTGGTACCTTGCTCCCGATGCTTCACGTGGGGAGTGACCTGGAAGGACCTTGTAGGACAAGCAGGGTTTGCAGGATGACTGAGGACAAGCCCTCCACATAAAGAAAGTCCATGAGCAACTGCACATGGTTGGCTTGCCTGTCCTCTGCCTGGATGAGTGTCCTGGACTCCGAGGTCCCCACCACTGCCCACAAGCATTGTTCCACCCCGTGACCAAAGGGATCAGTAGACGTGGCTCGACTCCCTGGGTCCAAATCTCAGCTCCAGCACTTGCCAGCAAAATGCCCTGGGGAAATTAATTGGTCTCTCTGTGCCTTAGTTCCCTCTTCTGTAAATGGGGGTGATACTCTCTTCTACCCCTCTGCTTGTTTAGAGAATTAAGTGGATTACTATAGATAAAGTGCTTAGAGTAGTGCCTGGCACACAGTAATTAGTAATTATCTGATATTCATATTATCTTTAAAATATGTGAATCATTCCTGGCTTCCCATTGCCACTAGAATGAAGGCCCTTCCTCGAATACCCACCATCCCTCGCCTGTCTTTGACCCTCTCTTCCCCTCTCCCATCCTTCATCTCTGTGCTCTGGCCTCACCGGCCATGTGCCCATCCCCGGACATGCCCACCTCACAGGCCCCTGCGCACTCGCACCTGAACTTGCCTTGGATGCCGTTTCCCCAGGTCTTTGCATGGCTGTCTTCTTCTTCTCACTTGAGTCTTATGTCAAGCGACACATCACAGGAAGGCCTTTCGCTCTCTCCACCGCCAGTGCCTCCCTGTCCCAGACCCTGCTTTATAACCTTCACAGTACTTAACCATGACCTGAACTCACTTTACTTCTATTTCTGTTACACTTATTTTTGTCTCTGCCTAAGCTCTGTGGGAGCAGCAGTCTTTTTTCTGTCTCATTTCCGCTTCAGTGTCTCCAACACCTAGACCAGGGCCTGGCACATCCCAGGCAGGTAGCAAATGTGCCCACTGCATACCTGCGGCCAGTGTCAGTGGAATGCTGGCAGGACAAGTCACAGCGAGAGACTTTCCAGGCTCTCAGTGCCACTTACAAGTCCTTCCCCTCCCTGTGGCTCTGTGACCTCTACTCTGAGAGGTGGCTGCTGAAGTCACATTCCCTGAGTATTTGCCGAAGCCACTGAGAACCGCCGATGAGTCAGTTGGGGAAGTGTGAGGACCTCAGCAGCAGGGCAGCAGAATTCCCGAATTCCCGCAGTTCCCTCCTGCTCCTGCAGCATGAACCCGTGGCGTCCTGGTGCCAGGTGCTTCTTGAGGGACTGGTGGAAAAAGATGACTAAGATTTCATCCTGCCCTCGAAGAGGTCTGTTCTCAGAGCGGAGAAAGACGTGGGCCTAAAGAAAAAAAAAAATGATAAACAGCTACGAACTTTTCCTCGTTGGGATCCTGTGTTCTTTCAGATCTGGTGTGCTGTTCTGACCAAAGATTTATATTACTTTCATCAAAATGAACTATTTTACATATAAGAATTTTGTTGACACAAGTATTTCATGTTATTATGTAATTAGTAGGATTGCTATTTTTTGAGTGATTGAGCTGTAAACAATTTGAACCAAAAATGTCAGGGTGTCAGAAAACAAAAATGGACAGCTAAGTTATCCTATTTTTGTTGCTGTTGTCTTTTCTTTCTTTCTTGTTTTGAGACAGGGTCTCACTCTTGCCCAGGCGGGAGTGCAGTGGCATAATCGCAGCTCTCTGCAGCCTCAACCTTCCAGGCTCAATGATCCTCTCACCTCAGCCTCCTGAGTAGCTGAGACTACAGGCGTGTGCCACCATGCCCAGCTAATCTGTTTTTCTTAATTGTCTGTAGAGACAGGTTTCACCATGTTGCCCAGCCTGGTCTCAAACTCCTGAGCTTATGCAATCCACCTGCCTCAGCCTTTGAAAGTGCTAGGATTACAGGCATGAATCACCATGCCCAGTTGTTATTCTTTATTCTGTGTGAATGTTTTGGGAACAACAATATGATACCATACCCACATCCTCTAGATGGTGATAGGAGCCTCCCCCAGTGCTGTTGTGCTCATTCATTTGTGTTGCCCTCAAGGAATACCTGACGCTGGGTAGTTTATAAGGAAAAGAATTTTATTTTGGCTCATGGTCCTGCAGGCTGTCTCAGAAGCAGCATCTGTTCGTGGTGAGGCCTCAGGAAGCTTGCAATCATGCTGGAAGGCAACCGGGAGCCAGAACATCGCATGGCAGGAGGGAGCAAGAGAGAGGTGGGGGAGGTGCCACACGCTTTTAAACAACCAAATCTCACATGAACTCAGAGTGAGAGCTCAGTCACCAAGGGGATGGCGCTAAGCCCTTCTTGAGGGACCCACCCCAATGACCCAAACACCTCCCACCAGGCCCACCTCCAACACTGGGGATTATATGTCAAAATGAGATTTGAAGGGGACAAAGATCCAAGTGATGTCAGCTGTTTGACTTTGTTTGTAATTTTTGTTTTGTTTCGCAATGAGGGCCCCGTAGAACTTCAACCTCCAGCTCCCACCATTCTTCATATGTCCCAGACAAGTATTTTTTTCTAGATCCTTCTCTTTGCTTCTTTAAACAGTCTTCCTTCTCTCAGATTGATAGATTTTGAAAAGAACTGACTGACTATATGTTACTGTCAGCCTGGAGTTTTATTATTCAGCAAATTTCCACTCAAGGAAATACAAAGACAGGTTCAGAGAAGGTATGAAGTTCGCCTATTTTCAAAGGCCTGGAAGAAAAATTAGGCTCAAGAATTCCCCACAAGACACTGAAACCCCATGCAAAAGTACACAGATGTATATGCAAATCAAAATTTTAGAAGGCACGGGTACACCCTCCTACAGGTCTAAAAGAAAATGAGGGGGTGAAGTACAGTGCTGGTGAGCTGGAGTTGACTGCCCCCTACTTCAAAAGCCTGCAGTTTCCAAGTTGAATAACCTGGATAAGGTTTTGTAAAAGTTTAAAAAATACTTTCAATACAAAGGAAAATTTGGGAAGCCCAGGAAGATCTATTTTTTACCCTCCCTTTTAATCTACAGACTCCTACTCTCTAGGTTTTGGCAACTCAGTAAAGTTATGTTGTGTTTTTAGCAAGGGAAATCCTGATTCCTGGAAATTCTGGAATATTTCTATTCTGGGTCACCAGAACAAACTTTTTTTTATATATATATTTGAAAATATTTAATTGACAAAAATTGTATATATTCGAGGTATACAACATGATGATTTGATATGTTATGTCGTGCTCTCCAGCCTGGGGGATAAGAGGGAGACTTAGTCTCAAAAAAAAAAAGCATCTAAGGCAAGTATGGACCCATCATTGAAGTTGAGTGCTTGCCCTGTTGTTTCAGGGAGCCAGAGGGCCATTTTTAAGCAGGCCATGAGACACTGGGAGAAGCACACGTGTGTGACCTTCATAGAAAGGACCGACGAGGAAAGCTTTATCGTATTCAGTTACAGAACCTGTGGGTAAGTAAGCAAAAGTGAGCCCACCTCTGCAGAATCACTCGGATGGCTCATGAGTCTTGAATTTTCTCTGCAAACCGAAGTATTTCCAATGAGCTATTATTTAGAGGAGTCCAGGGTTTGCTAGAAACTTTTTGCCCTCGGTGAAATTACAACCCAGTGGCAAAGCAGATGGGTTAGGAGGAAGATTCCAGGAGACTCCAAGAAGGCCAGGGGTCCTACCACTAGGAGAGCAACAGGAGGAACTGGTGGTGTGTCACGTGAAGACTTAAGGCAGTGGCTCTTAACCTCTTAAGGTTGCTGTCCCCATTTAGAATCTGATAAAGCGGTGGGCTTTCCTTCTTCAAGAATAGATGTATATGTAGGCAAAATTTTGCATTTAATTGGAGGGACTCTACAGGTTTACAGATTTCCTGCAGAAAACATAATGTATAATGAAATGACTGGCTTATGACTAAAGTTATCTGTTACGTCAATAAATATGTGTGATAGACTTTCCTACTGAAAGAAGAAGGTTTCCATGTTGGATCAAAAACCCAAACCTGGCCAGGCACGATGGCTCATGCCTATAATCCCAGCACTTTGGGAGGCCGAGGTGGGCGGATCACCTGAGGTCAGGAGTTGGAGACCAGCCTGCAGCCTGACCAACATGGTGAAACCTGGTCTCTACTAAAAATACAAAATTAGCCAGGCGTGGTGGCGCATGCCTGTAATCCCAGCTACTCGGGAGGCTGAGGCAGGAGAATTGCTTGAACCCAGGAGGTGGAGGTTGCAGTTAGCCAAGATCACGCCATTGCACTCTAGCCTGGGCAACAAGGGCAAAACTCCATCTCAAAAAAAAGTAAAAGACCCAAACACATCTATATGTTCTCTACATAAGACAATTACTGAAGAAAACAACCTAGAGAGGTTTAAAAGTAAAAGGAAAGAAGCTGTACAGGTAAATGCTAACAGAAAGAAAGCTGGGATCACAATTTTAGTCCTAGACTAGGATTTCATTGTTTTGTTGTTTTTGTTTTTAAAGTCAGAAATTGTTAAACAAAACAAAAGCTGAGATGCTTTATAATGAGAAAGGATACAAGTGTTGGTCAGAATATAACTGTCATAAATCTTCATGCACCAAATAGCATAGCATTAAGACTCATAAAACAAGCCCCAGGGAATTCCGAGGGAGATTGCTAGAAACGCCCAGCAGCAGGAGACTCAATTCATTTCTGTCAGCCCAAGTAAATCAGCGTCATGCTGACCAAAAAATAAATAGAGATTCACAGAGGATTTGAAAAATACAGTTAATAGAGTTAATTCTATAGGTCTATCAGATTCTATAACCTCATTACACACTTTTTTTTAAATTGCTCACTGAAGAATTATAAACCTTGACCATCTATTAAGCATTAAGAACATCTTAAAAGGCAGAAATAGCACTTAGGTATTTTCTAATTGTGAAGCAGTGAAACTGGACATAACACGATAACAAAAATAGAATAAACATTATCTGATAAGTTAAAAGTTCTCCCATGCTTCCTTTTATGGCTCTTAGATCATAAAAACAGCAAGATTAAAGTTGCAGAATGTCTATATAATGAAAGCCCTATGGTTCAAAATAAAAGAGATATAGCTAAAGCTATGTGCAGATTAAAACCCACAGCCTTAAATATCCACATCACCAGGTGACAACGGTGACAATGAAATATTCAGTTCAAAGAGGCTAGCAAAAATAGATGCTTAAAACCCACCACCATCACCACAACAAAATAAACCTAAGGGGAGCACAAGGAAACAGACAAGGTGGAACATTATAGGGCTAACAAATTCTAGAGTCAATTCTTTGAATAAACAAACAAACAAAATAATAGATATACCACTTGTTGGTTTAACTGAGACAAAATGTGATCACACAGAACTACGTAAAAGTAGAAATGAAAATGAGAGAAATAGCCACAGATTCAGCAGAATCATTAAGGAGTAGTTTGCAAAACTCTAAGGCAAAAAATGTGAAAATGTGGATAAAGTGAAAGTCTTCAAGGTAAATATAAAGTACTGGTACAGACCAAGAACTCTGAATGAAATTGAAGAATGGAGGGAAAAAGCCATCTTCCCCCAAAGCACTGGACCCAGAGTTTCACAGTTGAATTCTTTCAAAACTTCAAAAACAAATTACTCTGGTATACTTAAACTTTTTAGAGCATAGAGGAAGATGAACACTTCAAATTACTTTTGAGTAGCTGTTATGGCATTGCTGTCTTGAAATGAAAAGGATGGCACCAAATAAATCGAGACAGAAAGAAAGGAAAACTTGATACAAAAGATAAGAAAGAAAAAAATTATAGACTAATCTCCCATGTGAATAGCCATGCAAAATCCTAAATAAAATGTTAGCACATAGAATTCAGCAGCAAAAGAAAAGAAGAGTAGGCTGCCAAATATATTTATCTAGGGAGTACAAGATGAGTTCAACGTTAGGAAATCTCTTCCCATCATTGGTTGCTCAAAGAAGAGAAGCTGTGTTCATATCTTAATAAATGCTAAAAGGCACCTGTACAATACAACATGCAATTTTTGTTTTTAAAAAGTAACCAAGGTAGCACAGAAATAGATGTCAAGGATAGATTCTTGCATTACAAATATATGTGTGTGTGTGTGTGTGTGTGTGTGTGTGTGTGTGTGTGTGAAATAAGCATAAATATACATTTATATAAATAACTTCCAACCAAAAAGCCAACATCATGTTTATCGATTAAGCATTTAGTTTTAGTTTAAATCAGGAACAAGTTTAACATGTTTAGGGTTACCACACTTATTTAGCATTGTTTTGGAAATACTAATTAATATAAATTAGACGAGAGAAAGAAAAAAACACTGTGAATATTGGCAGGAAAAAGGCAATGTTAGCACTGATGGGAGGTAATGTGATTGTGTGCCTAGAAAACCCAGAGTATCAATTGAAAAACTGGTAGAAACATAAGGAGAATCTATTAAGTGACTGACCACAAATTAATTAATTAACAAAAATAGGTGACTGCTTTTCTTTATACATGAAATAGTTTGATACACTTTTATGATGGGGAAAAAATCACAATGTTAATAGAAACATAATAGATACTATATCTAAGACTAAACGTAAATGTGCCAGACTATAGGAAGAAAATGTTAAAACTCCCAGGAACCTAAAAAAAAAAAAAAGAAAAGAAAAGAAAGTTAAAAATAGAAAGCATATTGCTTCCTGGTATAGGAATACTCAACATAGTAAAGATGTCAGAACTCCCTAAAATAAGCTGCAAATTCATGCCTTTCTGATTTAAACACCAACATTTATAGATACGTACGTACGTGTGTATGTATGCATACATATTTTTAGAACTTGAACAAATGATACTAGAGTTTATCTGGAGGAGCAACCATGTAGAAATAACCAGAGAGAAAGAGAGAGAGAGAGAGAGAGAGAGAACTGTAATGACAGAGGTAGGTATCTAATGATCTAATGGAACATGCAGAATATTAAAAGGCAAAAGGAAGATAATAACAAAACAGTTTGGAACTTAAGGGAAAAATAGATACATGGAAAAAAGGGTCCAAAACAAATATACCTCTACACAAATTTGGGTAAAATTTTAAATGAATGGGAGAAAGATTAATTAGTCAATTGGGATATTCTAATATTGGGATAATTTAGATAGCTCTCTGTGGGGGGAAAAAAAAAAGCTGAACTCCTACCTCACTTCTTTTTGTGTGTGTGTGTGTTTGTTTGTTTGTTTGTTTGTTTTGAGACGGAGTTTCGCTCTTGTTACCCAGGCTGGAGTACAATGGCGCGATCTCAGCTCACCGCAACCTCCGCCTCCTGGGCTCAGGCAATTCTCCTGCCTCAGCCTCCTGAGTAGCTGGGATTACAGGCATGTGCCACCATGCCCAGCTAATTTTTTTGGTATTTTTAGTAGAGACGGGGTTTCACCATGTTGACCAGGATGGTCTCGATATCTTGACCTCATGATCCACCCGCCTCGACCTCCCAAAGTGCTGGGATTACAGGCTTGAGCCACCACACCCGACCTACCTCACTTCTTATACCAAAAAATATTCTAGCTAGATCAAAGATGTAAGTATTAAAAAAAAGGAAAGAAAAACCCAAAAGAATATAAGAAGGAAACAAGAGTAGATTGTATTTATAATCCTGAAATATGGATGACCTTTCTAAGCAGCACATAAGAAAATGAAGACATTTTATAATACTAACATTAAAAACATTTATATGGCAAAACGAAAACAATACATAAACAAAAACAAAGTCAAATGAGAAATAACAAAGTGAGCAAAATACTTGCAACACTCTTGACTACAAGTTTCCCTAATTTACAAAGGGTTCTTAAACATCAATCATAAAAAAACGGACAACCCAAAAGAAAACAGAGGTAAGAGGTGATCACATAGTTCACAGGAAAAACAAACAAACAAATGTCACGCAAAATCTGTGCAAAACTATCCAGGCTCAATGCAGTGAAATACCATCTTTTACTATCCAATTGGCAACAATAGTTTGATAAAACCAGAGTTGGCCAGGATGTGGGGAAACAGGACTTAAACATTTTTTTTAAGCTCTTGTGGGTACATAGTAGGTGTATATATTTGTGGGGTACCTGCGATGTTTTGATACAGGCATGCAATGTGAAATAATCACTTCATGGAGAATGGGGTATCCATCCCCTCAAGCATTTATTCTTTGTGTTACAAACCATCCGATTACACTCTTTTAGTTATTTTTAAGTGTACAATTAAGTTATTATTGACTATAGTCACCCCGTTTCGTGATCAAACAGTATATCTTCTTTATGCCTTCATTTTTTTGTGCTCATTTTTTTTTAACCATCTCCACCTTCCCCACCAGTCCCCTACTACCCTTCCAGCCTGTAGTAACCATCCTTCCAGTCTCTATCTGCATGAGTTCAGTTGCTTTCATTTTCAGCTTCCACAAATGAGTGAGAACACATGACGTTTGTCTTTCTGTGCCTGGCTTATTTCACTTAACACAATGGTCTCCGGTTCTATTCCTATGGTTGCAAACGACAGATCTCATTTTTTTTTTATGTCTGAATAGTACTACATTGTGTAGAGGTACCGGATTTTCCTTGTCCATTCAACTGCTGATGGACACTGAGGTTGCTTCCAGATCTTAGCTGTGAACAGTGCTGCAACAAATGAGAGCGTGCGGATATCTCTTCGATAGACTGATTTCTTTTCTTTTAGGTAAAGAGAAAGGGCCTTTTAATATATTATTAGTGAATACATAAACAGACAACGTTTTGGGAGTACAGTTTGACAGTATCTGTCAACATCTCAAATGCACATAGGCTCTTACCCATTCATCCCATTGGTAGAAATTTACCCTACCACTTCTTTGTTTCATTTGTTGTCGTTTTTGTTTGTTTTGCTGGTCACTCTCTCCCCTGAGGCCTTGTTAAAACAGCAAAAACTGGAGTTAAAGCCTAGATGTACATCAATAGAAGACTGATGAAATAAATTTTAGTATACAAAAATGTATATAAATATTATTTGAAAAAAATGACTGTGCCCGAAAAGGAGTCATCTCTAAGCCTCCTCTGACGATGATACCACGTTGCATGCATGATAGACACTCATCTGCCTCCGTCCCCCGTCTCTTCTCCTTTTCATTAAAAATGGCCCAGCAGGGACTCCAGCACCTTGCGGGTAGAGGGGTGGGATATGGTATGCACTTTATTTCGGGAAGAGAGGCCATATATTTTTTCAGCTTTTCAGGAAGACCCATAATCACAAAAAGGTCAAGAATCATTTTTGGAGGGAATTTCTGCATTGGGTCATTGGGAGGAATTCAGACAATGAGAGCACTTTCACCTCTGAAATTTTGTTTTGTTTTTTTTTTTTTTTCTCTTTTGAGATGGAGGTTTTGCCCTTGTTGCCCAGGCTGGAGGGCAGTGGCACCATCTTGGCTCACTGCAACCTCTGCTTCCCAGGTTCAAGCGATTCTTCTGCCTCAGCCTCACAGGTAGCTGGGATTAGAGGCATACGCCACATGCACCTGGCCATTGTTTTTTGTATTTTCAGTAAAAACAGGGTTTCACCACGTTGGCCAGGCTGGTCTCGAACTCCTGCCGTCAGGTGATCTGTTCGACTCAGCCTCCCAAAGTTCTGGAATTACAGGTGTTAACCACCACACCTGGCCTGAAATTGTTTATTTTACATGCACACATGCACACACACACACACACACACACACACACACACAGAGTGGGAGGGGGACTTGCCTCTTGCTCTTGATGTCTTCTGACCTGCTGACCTGGGTATTCCCACAATTGTCCAGCTGTTGTTCCTATGTTGGGCGCCGAGGAGGAGGCCCACAGGCCATATCCATTGGGAAGAACTGTGACAAGTTTGGCATTGTGGCTCACGAGCTAGGCCATGTGGTTGGGTTCTGGCATGAACACACCCGGCCAGACAGAGACCAACATGTCACCATCATCAGGGAAAACATCCAGCCAGGTAAGGAGGCCTGTGTGGAGTCGGGAAGGTAGCATCCTCACGGCCAGCAGGGAGGAGGGAAGGAGAGGGCTGGCTGGGAGCTGAGCTATGCTAATGCTAAATATGGAGCAGTGACCCTGTTGTGCAGGCCCCTGTCACCAGTGTGACCACTGTCCATCTGTGGCTTCCTGGGGGGTCACCTGCCATAGCTTGTAGGTTGGAGCAGAAGCAAAATGATTTTCCATATTTTAAAGGACAGTGAAATCTAACTCCATTTCCTGAAAGGAACACAGTTGACCAGAACACTGTTGTAGCATCAGAACTGATAAGCCAAAAAAAAAGAGTTCTCCTGGCTGCTTTTGTGAGTCATTTGTACTGACTTAGGCAACATATTTTTTGAAACTGAAATACAATTAGGACATGAACACATGTAAAAACAGTGTTTCTGACTAGAAACATTCTGCCCCAAGGCAGATAAAGTGTCTAGATTTTAAAGAAATACTTCCTGATATCAAATAATTTTATATAGAAGTTGATATTGAACATGAAAATAGCTAGTTGAAGAATATGATTGCTTTACAAATGCTTTAGAGAACCTGAATTGTGAGTTATTTAGGATTGACCTTAACTCTCTGATTCTTTTTTTGTTTGTTTGTTTCTTCAAATTGCCAGTTAGAGTTTTTTATTTTTATTTTTTTGTGGTGGGTAAGCAAATTGATAATCTGTCTGCAAACTTAAAGAGTTTAGAGTGGCATTTGGGGATGGGTCTTGGGTGGTGGAATTGGGAGAACACAGGGCTTGCTGGAAGTTTCAAATTTCCAATTATTAAAAACAACAAGAACCACTACAAACCCTGTGATTTGACTGAGTGGGCCAAGAGAGCCCTGGGAAGCTGCTATGGGCCCTCCTTCTCCTTCCTCTGCCTCCTTTCAGGTGCCCGACTTGGTTTTCAAAGGCCTTAACAGAGTGTTGTGTCACAGGTCAGGAGTATAATTTCTTAAAAATGGAAGCTGGGGAAGTGAGCTCTCTGGGAGAGACATACGACTTTGACAGCATCATGCACTACGCCCGGAACACCTTCTCAAGGTCGGAATCTATGTTTCTGCCTCGTCTGTGTTTTACTGTGCCTGCGCAGGCTTGGGTTGCATTCCTGGAGGTCTGTGGAGAGTGGGTCTCTGCATGCTCCTAGCACGGCTGGCCTGTCTGTCCTTGAAATACAGTGGCCTCTGGGCCGCAGTGAAATATAATCTAATCAGGTTCCTGTTAATAAGATTGAATCCCATTGTGAAGCTGGCATTCCATCATGCCCTAATGTCACAAGCAGCAAACTGGAAAAGGGAAATTATCGAGAGGTTGGCTGGGATAATAACTTAGAGGCTCTGTGTAAAATTTCTAATGGGTCGGGGGAGTCTTTTGTAGAAGGATGGTGGTGCTCAGCAGTTCTCCTTAGCAGAGGTTTGGTTTATTGAAAATTAGGCGGTGTCGGGGCTAGAGGGCTGTAAATCATCGATTCATTTTAGAGGCGAAGACAGTGAGGCTCCAGCCAGCTCTCAGATGCACAGGTAGCTGAGGACTGGAGTGAGAGCAAAGACCCAGGTTCCCACCTGCATGTCACAGAGGATGGAAGCTGCCTATTCAAGTAGGGCTGGGTGTTTTATTTATGGCCGGCATAGACAGGGTCTGTTCTGATGAGCCGTTCTGATGTGCTTGCCCAGCAGACGGTAGAGTTTTTCAGTATTGTCCCTGCTTCTAGACCATGGAAGTGCTTTGTGTGTAGAAGTTTTTCCTTACTTGTCCCAGTTTTATAGGTCTTTCTACCCTTAGTGAAAGGAGACACACAGAACAAGTATTTTCTCTCTTGGTACTTTCTCTTCAATCTCTTGTTAAAACCAGATGTTTGCTTGCTTCTTTGTTTATTTCATCATTCCCCCAAAAGGATCTGTGGTGACTTCCAATGTACACATGGGATAACAAAGATAAATCACAGGTGAGAAAACTGGGAGAAAGGAGGAGGTGAAAAATCAGGCTAGAAAGCTAAGTCGAGGCCCAGAATCAGTTTAGTGCTCAGAGTATATGCTGTGAGGGTAGGTACACTTGGTTGGGGTTGGCAGCAAATCCTGCCCTGTGCTTCCTAGTAGTCACAGCAAAGAGGGAAATAATCCATTCTGTGAGTCTCCATGTCCATAAAGAAGAAAGGAAACCATTTGTTCAGAAAACATATGGCTCTCGGGAGTGAAAGGAAAACTGTTTGCCAAGAGCTCCTTGGTGCTTGGGTGAGGCTGCTGAAAGCATCCTGTTGATGAATTCGTTGATAGGATTGTGGGAGAAATCCTCTAAATCTTAGCATCCCAAGTTCTCAGGGGGCACTGTTCCTGAGGCCACACAGCTGCTTTAGTCATGATCTCTATCCTGCACCCGGATGTGAGCTCTGATGGGTGGAGTTATGTTGAAGCTGACATCTTCGACAGCACTTGGGAGTGGCGTGAAATTAAGCCTTCCTGGCCTCTTTGCCCATCTCCTGGCTCTTTTCCAAAGATACTAGAAGAAACATGGTGCGATGAAGAGACAACCAAACTCAGAACCAGACACCAGTTCTAGTCCTGGTCCTAGTTCTCCTGTGACTCTTACCTTTGAGGGAGGCAGACAGTAATTAGGGGCAGCTGTGTGATGGTTAAATCTCCACCTCCACGGGCCTTTGTTTCCTTGTGAGAGGGTTGGACTAGATGTTCTCTGAGCCCCTTCCAGCTCCAACCTTTCATGTTGCAATTTCTCAATCTCAGATGCAGATGGGTGAGGGGTTGACAGATATGATCTCATATACTGCCATACAGGAAATCTGAAGCTGGAAGGGCCTCCTCTTCCAGATTAGGAAACTGAGACATTGAGGGATCCACCCTGAGCTGTGTGCAGGGAATCTCAGGAAGCCAGTGCAGTGTGCAACTATCCAAGGGGTGTGATGCTTGGGTCTTGGGGTGGGCTGATTCACCTGTTTGGGAAATGGGGTAGCGTATACCCAGGGGCCCACCCCATCATCCAGGAGTTACAGGCTGCTACTAGACACCAAGTGTCAATTTTGTCAGAGAATCTATGTCAAGTTGACCCAAGGAAGAAGCTTGCACCTTGGGTCTTATTTCTGTAGCTGCCATAACTCTTCATATTGCTTTTTATCTATTAATAATTATTAATTTATCTATTCATATTTTTCTGTTGTATTCCCTTCTCTGGCAGTAGACTGAGATCCTTGAGAAGAGAGACTATCTCATTCTCTTCTAGTCCCCAGCACCCAACATGGTGCCTGGCACCTAGTAGGCATCCAACAGATATTTGCTAAATGAATAAATTAATGAGTGAGTTCAAAGGGGTCAGGGTACCTGCAATGTTGGGGAATAGGTGAGGGTAGAAGTGTCCATTATGCTCATTCTTTCCATGTGCTCACCAGTGCGATGGTCACTTTATTAAGGAGAATCTCTAAGTCTGTACCACGTAGGGCATTTGTGGGTTGTAGGAGCTGCACTGCCTTCTCCTGCCTGCTCTGTGCCAGGCACTGCACAAGCTCCTGAGCCAGAGGCCAGGACAGGATGCAGGCAGAGGAGGCAGAGGATCTTCAGCACCAGCACTTCTTGTCTTGTCTTTCTTTTTAATATACATATATATATATATATATATATTTCTAAGATCACTAACTCATAATGCCATGCCTTCTGTCCCTCAGGGGATAACCATTTCTAATGCTATTGTCAGTGTGAGTCATCAGCACAGACTGGTAGAAATCCATGGGCCAAACCCATGAAATAAAAATTTCTCATCAAAAGACCCAGAAGCTCTAGGAGGGAGATCAGCAGGAGCAGCACACAGGAGGATGGGCAGCTAGCAGCAGAGCAGCTCCCCGAGGGCAGGCGGCCCCTCCTGCTACTGTTACTTTAGCTATGGCTGCAGAATAGTTGACCACAAGCTTAGTGACTTAAAACAGCAGTTTATTACTTTTCATGATTCTGTGGGTTAGTCAGGCTTGTTCTTCTCTGGTCTTTCCCGGGGTAACCCACGGCAACAGTCGTCTGACAGCTCAGCTGGGCTGGGGAGTCCAGGATGACCCGTCACATGCCTGGCACGTGGTGCTGCCTGTTCATGCCCCTCAGTTCTCTTCAGGAGTCCCTTGGTTCTTCATGTGGCCTCTCATCCTCCAGTAGGCTAGACCAGGCTTTTCGCTGCATGGGGACTCAGGTTCCAAGAGGGCAAGCGGGGAAGCCACAAGCCTCTTAAGGCCCCAGCTCTGGAACTTGCATGACATCACTTCTGCCACATTTATTGGTCAAAGCAAGCCACAAGGCCAGCCCCAGACTCAAGTGAATGAAGGAATAGACTCTGCCTCTTACTAGGAGGTATGGCAGCTTCAGGTTGCAGTAGGATGCAGCCATTAGGACGAGTGACTTTTTATTTTAACAATCTGCCAGTGCTACCTTCTCACCTGTGCCCCAGAGTTCAGAATGGTTTCAGCAAATCTGTTTTGTTGCAGATGGATAACTGCATCGTCCTTTCTGCCAACTTTTTGCACGGATTTTCAGAAAACAATTTTGTTCAGTGTTTTTTTTACTGGGGGCTTTTCTGTTGGCATTTTGTCAATGGTTTCCCCACTCCCAACTCCATGTCATTACTCCTGGTCACAAAGACCCTTCAGCTGGCCAGTACCTCATCTTGGATTCTGCAAATGAGCAGAATACAGCCTGTAGAACATATGCTTATTTTGGGGAGGCGGGCAAATGCTGTGCCCTGCTGATGGGAAACTCAATCTTTGTGTCTCTTTACTATTGAGCTGTCTCCTTCCAACTTTATTCCCTCTAGTTTATTGCAGTTCTTCTCCCCTCCCCCTTGGTTGGACCCAGGCTGTGGGGAGCGGTGTCTTTGGAGGTTTTGCTGGGCAAAGGTCCAGGAGATGAGGAGACAGCTCTCTTGTACAGGGGCCTCTTTGTTTCAGAACTCAGAGCTGACAGTTTTATTCCCTGAGGCATCTGCTGAGCTCTGTCTTAGTTTAGCAGAATGTCAATGCTAAGAGTTGTCCTACATGAAAGAGGGGAGGAATGTCACCACTGTGGTTTACACAGGGGACGGCTCTTGTAGTAAACATCTTCCAGAGCTGGCAGCTCTTGCTGGCAAGGGAGGACGTCCAGCAGCAAAGAGCAGTCTGAGTGGGAGCCAATGTTGTCCCTGATGTTTTGGTTTTTGAAGTCGGCAACGTTCTTAGCTGTGTAATTTAATGCATTGTAAGGCCTACTGTTCATTGGGCAGCAGGAAACACTGGCTGGAAGGAGGAGGATTGCCAGAGGTGAGCTCCCGGCCTGCCTCTCCATGACTAGCTCTGTGCCCCGGGAAAGCCACCAGCTCTGCAGGCTCAGTCTTCTCCCTTGTGGAGTGAGAGTTCTCATGATCATGGCACCTGACTGCTAGGGTGTTATGAAGATGAAATGAGATGGTGCAGGGAGAGTGCCCAGTGCAGGGCCTGGCACATCAGAAAGTCCTATGAATGATGAGTGAGTGCAAGAACATGGCTTCTATACAGCAGGCCCACTGGCGAAGTCGTCTACACGGTGCGGCCAGGTAGCGTGAGGTACTTAGAGACTGTGGTGACCCTTGTGCTTGCACTGCAGAATTCCTGTCTGCAAGGGAACCAAGAAAATATTCACAAAATGACGTTTTTCATTAGGGCAGCAGTGCCTGTTTTTGGAGTAGCTGATGATTGAATTTTGGATTTTCCACGGGGTTATCACATGTGGTTTAAAATGTGGTAAAGTCAGTGAGGGAGGCCAAGGATTCCGCTTAAGTTTCTCTATAGGAGTCCAGACCCAGAGATGAGGCAGGTCAGGGGTTATATGTTGGGTACAGAGATGCTAAAAAGGAAATCAGCAGATGATCTAGATTCCCACCTGCTAAGGTTGGAAAGTGAGCTTGAAATCTGATTTTTTAAAAAAAATTCTATAGAGAAACAAAGATGATAAAGTGATGTAACCAGGAAAAACAAGAGGTAATAGGTATTTTCTAAGGTCGTGCAGAATTTAGGGAAACAGAAACAGTGCTTGAAAGAGACAGAGAGAGAAAGAGCGAGAGCGTGCACAGCTAATAGCTAGGTGACATATGTACATTTTTGCATTCCGTTTTGGATGTAAATCACTTTTTTGCAAAGTTTTTTTGAAGACAGTGCCTTATCCTGATTGCATAATTTAATTCAAGATACATTTTTCGAGGCCTGCTAATGTTGTAGTTTCTAAGGACAGAGATAAAACACCCAGTCTCTCTGCTTGAGGAACTTACATTTAGCAAAGAAGACAAATACCACCACTCTTTAAAAAAGACAATATAGTATGATAAGAAGAGGCTACACAAATGACTGAGACCCAGAGTAGGAGATGATAAACTCCAGATGGGAGGAGTAGAAAAGGCCTGGGGAAGACTTTTAATAGAGAAAGACGTCGGATGGGGTTTCGGACAATGAATAGGAGTTTGCAAGTAGACAAAAAAATACAGGGCATGGGCAGCCTAGGGAGAAGATAGCATGTGTGAGGGCATATTTGGGGCCTACAAGGAGCTTAGTGTTGCTTAAAATAATGAGTCAGACTGCAGAGGAAGGTGGAAGTCAGTGAGCAAACAATCTAGAGATCCAAGTGGTGACTGGAAGTTGGTGAAGGGCTCTAAGCAAAGGAGGCACATGCCTCCCCTTGCATTTTTGGGATGATTCCATTGCAGCGTTGTGGCTGAGGGGAGCAGAAGAGTAGAAGTGGCTGTGTCTACATGGAGGGAAGCTGGTTAAGAAGCTACTGGAAAGAGTTCAGGAAGAGGCTGCTGATCACTTGAGCTGTGGCAGTGGTCTGGGAACAAGGAGCAGGAGTGAGTTCGATTGAGTGCAAAGAAGGTGCAGTGGACAAGACCTGACTCCTGGTTTGGGAGGAGAATGTGAGGGAGAGGGAGGAGCTGAGAATGACTTCAGATTCAGGCCCAGGAGACAAGGATCATGGAGTGAGCAGGAGAAGGATGGAACTGTGATCAATTTGGCATATATATATACTTGCACCTTAGGTTCTGGGGTACACGTGCAGATCATGCAGGATTGTTGCATAGGTACATACATGGCAAGGTGGTTTGCTGCCTCCATCTTCCCGTCACCTATATCTGGCATTTCTCCCCATGTTATACCTCGCCAACCTCCCTTCCCCCTGCTGTCCCTCCCCTATTCCCCCACAACAGACCCCAATGTGAGATGCTCCCCTCCCTGTGTCCATGTGTTCTCATTGTTCAACACCCACCTATGAGTGAGAACATGCAGTGTTTGATTTTCTGTTCTTGTGTCAGTTTGCTGAGAATGATGGTTTCCAGATTCATCCATGTCCCTACAAAGGACACAAACACATCATTTTTTATGGCTACTTAGTATTCCGTGGTGTATATGTGCCACATTTTCCTTGTCCAGTCTGATCAATTTGGTTTTGAGCATGTTGGATATAAGAGGCCCATAGGACATCCCAGGGGAGGTGTTACCAGGGGACTCAGCAGAGGATCCTGGGCTGGAAACAGAGGAGTCGCTGTGAGCTTGCAGGTGATGGTTAAAAGCTATAGGAGCAGATGGAACATGGAGAGAGAGGAGGGAGGGAGAAGGCAGAAACCTGAGGGGCATCATCGAAGGGGGAAGCAGAAGGGATTCTTGTCACACTGCTCAGAGAGAGCCGCGGCCTGGACCCAGAGAGAAGACAGTGAGGAGGGAGGGGGCATCGCAGGTCCCAGTGCTGGAGAGAGGGCAGACAGAGATTGGAAGGTGTCTATTGGCAGATGAGTGGTGACCATTGCTGATGGGGTCATACCACCATCCGATTGAGGAATGAATGAAAGGCGAGCAGTCGGGGAATGGAGACAATACTTTCTAGAAACTTAGTTAAGAAGAGAAGGAAAAAACAAGATGGTGACTGGAGGAGGCCTAACATCCAGGAGAGTCCCCAGATAGAGGGGCTGGAAGCAGAGGAGGAGGCTCAGAGCTGGCCGCAGGCATGGCAGCAGGCAGGGTGTAAACCATGCCCACAGCAGGGCCAGCGCTTAGCTGGCATCCTGGTTTCTACTTGTCTGGTTTAGAAATGAAGCTGCCATTTTAGATTTCAGTCAAGTAGGAGGTGCTGCCATGACCATCTCAGCAAATTTCTTGCCGTTTAGTGGGATAAACTGAGGCTTAGAGAGGCTCAGAGAAGGGAAGGGTCTTGTCCATGCACACACAGACCTCGTATAGAAATCTCTAGTTCAGGGCTCTTTTGACTACTTCTTGTTCTCTGCATTTATCTCGTTTTCCATCTGATTTCCCCTCTTACCAGCAGGGCCTCCCAACTCTGACCAGCAACTCATCAACCTGCATTTGCTGACCAGCCCCCAAGAGTCTCGCATTGTACCAATTCCCAAGCTCTCCCTAGGGTAGCTCCACAACTTAGCTACGCATAGTACTTCCCAATGCACCACTGCAGGGGGCGCCACTCACACCATGATCTTTCTGAATGGAGCTCCCTGCAGATGTGCAGCATGGTGGCTCTGGGGCCTGGACCTGCCGGGGCTTCATGGAAATGCTCAGTACACATCCCTAAGGAAGCCCCTGGGCTACTGCGCTAGGGCATATAATTACATTTGGCAGAATCCTCTTCCCACTGGAAAGTGAGTAGGCAGCTGATGAGATAGAATAGGAAAATGCCAGCTCGAGTGAAGGAAACCGCTTCAGTCATGCCAGCCCGGGAGAGGCAGGCCAAGGGGCAGGAATGCTGATGGGGTTATGGGCAAGGGAATGAAGACTGGAAATCCCAGTATGGACAGCCTGATGGCCTTAACTTTTCTTTCTCTCTCTCTTTTTTTCCCCTTCCTGTAGAGGAGTTTTCTTAGACACCATCCTCCCCCGTCGAGATGACAATGGCGTCAGGCCAACCATTGGCCAGCGCGTGCGGCTCAGTCAGGGAGACATAGCTCAAGCCCGGAAGCTGTACAAATGCCCAGGTGACTATGAGCCGGGGGGACTGCCAGCACCTCCCTAGCATCTCCAAAGCACGGCCCCTGTGCTGGGAAAACAATTCGGGGTCCTAAAGAAACTATTCCTTGGCAGCTTTAACTTCTGGTGTCCTTCTGGTAGGAGGTGCTAGGCAGTGTAGAAAGGTGAAACGGTGACACGGTGGCAGGCACTGAAGAGAATAACAGGTCTTAGAGTCCACAGGTGATTTTGTGAGAGGCGTTAGGCTTCTCTAGCAAAGCGTTTGTGTCCAGAAGGGGAAGAAGCATAGCAGAACAACAGTAAACGGGTGCCCGGCAGTGTGCGCCGCACAACGGAGGTAGCACCTCTCCTTTGCATGGAGCTAGAGGATGTGGAAAAATAAGAACCGAGCAGGATTTTGGAGGAAGATAAAGAGGGAGAATGCTTTCGGGAGGATGGGGTGAGTTTCCCAAATGCTACAAGGTGGAGGGAGTCTCAGTGCTCTCAGCCAGGTTGTTGCTTTGGTCTTGGGGCTTTCCTAGCCATCCAAGGTGCTGCTCAGTGCCCAGGAGTCTGCCACTGAAGACGGGACAATCCACTGGGATTGGAACAAATGTCTGTTCCTCGGCCCATTGGAAAGCGTCCCTTCCCCTTGAATTTGCCCTGTTTGTCTTCCATCCTCCTGGTTTCAGCAGCATCATCATACACACACTGAGCTCCTAGGCCCCTTTCAGCTCTTGAGCTTCAATGTAAAGCATTGGTTATGGCAGCCAAGTTTTTACCACTGATGGGTCAGAATCCATTTCAGTGGTTTTAGGACGGTAGAAGGAAGTTCCATTACACACACCCTTTCCCAAACCCCCAAACCAGGCAGAGAGTTTTGATCATGGGATGAAATATTTGAAGTGAGGACCATCTTAGAAAATCTGGGCTGTCACATTACCTTACTAAGCAGAATCCCAGGGCATGCAAAGGGCTATGTATGGCTTGCTTCCTTAAGAAACTCTAGAAAATGTGTTCATGCAGCTATTAGTCATCTGAGGGCGTGTTAGGGCTGAAGTATAAGACACACATATCATATAACCTTGCTGAATTCAACAGGAAACCTTATAGCATTCCCTGGGAAATGCCATCGTATTTATTCAGTTATAACGTTCATGCTGCTTATTTCCCAAAAGGATTCATGGCAAAATACCATGGAGCCACACAGTAATGTATCTGTTCTTGCAGAATGTTGATGATTATCCTAAAATAATTTCCATGTAACCCTCGGGGGTGTTGACTGCCAGGCATAATCCTCATGATGCCTGGCAGTTGCTCGGTAATGTGATATTGAAGCCCTGATATCCAGGATTTCCTGAGGCCAATAATGGTGGTTCTCCACATATTCCTTCCTGCAGGCATTTGGAGTTCCCAGTAGTTTTGAGTAGTAACTGAAAGCTCAGGCAGTCGCCATGCAGAGGTTGACTTTCATGTAAGGATAAGAAGCTTAAGGATGCTGGATCCCTGCATGTTAGGGTTGGCCACATAAGAGGAGGGGCTCTCGGCAAGCCAGTGTCCTTGCCTTTGGAATCTGACCTCCAGGCATTACAGAAATACAAAACCTGTAGTTTCCAGGGATTCATACAGGTGGCCTTCTTTTTTGAGGACAGATTAGGGGAAATATTGCTCACATACATAAAGACTAGATTCTAGACTCCTAACCAGCCAACCCTCAAACATTCAAGGGCAGAATAGCCCACTAGAGAAGATTCCAGCTCCCTATGCCTCTGCATTTTTTTGTTTTCTTGACTGCTGGATAGTTCTTTCAGAATGAGTAGCAGAAAAAGAAGAGGAAAGAGTCAAACTAACAGCTGACTTAAGTTTCAAAGCATATTTTTTCTTTTTGTCTTATCCACTTGCACTTTCATGTTCTGTCTGCCACCGATATTACTATAAGCAATAATAAAGGCTGTTATCTATGAGGCACTCACTACTCACTATGTGCCAAGCCCTGAGTTGATTCATTCCATACAATGCACACAATTTCGCTAACCCTCTCAGGTAGGTCCTGCCCATTTTACAGATACGAAAACTAAGGCCCAGCAAGGGTAGGAAACTTGCTCAAGCCACACGGCTGGCCAGAGAGCTGAGATTCATGAGCTCTAGGCCATGCTCAGTACTGAGAGCCTCAGAAGAAATTCCTGGGCATTCCTTTTTGGCTCCCAGATCCCACTGGTGCTTCTGTTAGCCAGAAAACATCAATCTGCTTGCTACGCTTCTCACCACCCTATTGGAGGGCTTGGCTGGTAAAGGGGTATGTTTGCTCCACGGCCCCGTGCGGGAGCTGCTTGGGTGGGGAGTGGTGCATATGTCACATCACAGTTGTGATTTTGCTTGTGCAGCATGTGGGGAGACCCTGCAGGACACAACGGGAAACTTTTCTGCACCTGGTTTCCCAAAAGGGTACCCATCTTACTCCCACTGCGTCTGGAGGATCTCAGTCACCCCAGGGGAAAAGGTAGGTGTGAAACCCCCTTAGCAAATGGATGGCATTCCTTGAGTTGGGTGAGGTGGGAGGAATTCTTATTGTTAATAGTAAAACTAACAGCTGTTTGGTTATGAGCACCTACCATGTGGCAGGCATGGTGCTGCTTGCTGTACATTCGTTATTTCTGGACTTAACCAGTCTCATCCATACAAATGAAGGCTGGCATGTCCTAATTTGAGTTACAAATCAAGCTCACAGTTCCCCCCCAACCTTAATAAATATACCATTATAATGTCCTGGAATTTAGAATTCCATGACACCTCGGATTGCTGCTCTGGAAGATGGCGACATGAGGAGCCCACAGCTGGCTTTTCTTCCCCCAAGCCTTCATTTCACTGTTTGGGGCTTAAAGAACACCCCTGTTTACACCCCAGCCCCACTTCCCCAAGCATCTTCCACTCCTCTTTTGCAAACAGCCACTTTTTGGCTGCCCCTCCCACAGGATGGGCTGACCAGACGTGTAGTCTACATTCAAGAAGACGGATCCAGGGCAGAGGTCCTTGAATGCCTTGGCAGTGGGCTCAGAGCTGTGTGGACAAGGAATTTCTGGGTCCTTGGAGTATGGCATAGGAGCTGGGCAAGTTCTGGGTGGACATATTCCTTTGGTCTTGCAGATTCCATGACCCTCTAGAGCTGAGTCCATGGCAAGGATCTCTTTTACTCTGGTCCAAGGGTACTATGTTTTCAACCCTACTGCAGGGCGCATACTCTTATATCCATTATATGGATGAGGAATTTGAGGCTTGAACATTAAGAAAAGTGCCAAAATTCAAGGCAAGATATAGAACTAGGAACTGGGAACTGAGGTTTTGCACTCCAAAGTTTATCTTTTTGCTCCTGTCTCTGCAAATCTGAGTGTTCTTCAAGGTGTCTCAGACTAAATGCAACTATCTTTGAGAAACCTCGTCTGTTCCCTAGGTCTAGGTTAGGGGATACTTCCAATGTCCCCAGAGATTTCTACAATCATACCTGTTGTCTCACGGTATTGTCACTACTGGTTTATTTGTCCCAATTCTAAATCTTAAGCTCATTAAGGTTGGAGATTGAGCACCCCACACAGTCTATGGCACAGACTGGTCACATGATGAGTATTTGTTGAATGGATGTGTGGATAGATGAGGGGCTGAGTGAAAAACCTGCAGCTAGGGGTGGCAGTGGGGTATGCTGGAACTTTTCAGGCACCTGTAGCCAACCTTCAGGTATTTCTAATGTATAACTTTTTTAAAAATGTCCATTAAAATGTCAAGTTAAGCATAATGTGCTAACTAGAGACAAGTGGATAGGAACCATTGTGAGCACCTTCTAGGGACTGGACACTATCCTTAGCATGTTATGTGGGTCATCTAATTTAGTCCTCACATCAACTTCATGAAAAAGGTGCTGTTACCATACTTATTTACAGGTCAGGAATTGGACTTGCCCAAGGCTTCTAAGTTTGTTGCAGAGCTGGGATTTGAACACAGGCAACTGGACTCTGAGATCCTGAATGCTTAACCATCATCTTTTTTTTTTTGAGACAGAGTTTCACTCTTGTCACCCAGGCTGGCGTGCAATGGCACATTCAGCTCACTGCAACCTCTGCCTCCTGGTTCAAGTGATTCTCCTGCTTCAGCCTCCCAAGTAGCTGGGATTACAGGCATGCACCACTACGCCTGGCTAATTTTGTATTTTTAGTAGAGATGGAATTTCTCCATGTTGTTCAGGCTGGTCTTGAACTCCTGACCTCAGGTGATCTGTCTGCCTCAGCCTCCCAAAGTACTGGGATTACAGGTGCAAGCCACTGCACCCAGCCAACAATCATCTTATATTATTACACATCAGGCTAGCAGATAGACATTTGAACATGCATTTATATACATACATGAATGCATGTGTGCACACACGTATGCATCCTTCCTTTGGCTCTAAGCATTTAAGACGTTAAGTATAGCTGCCATCTTGTATCTGAGACCTTAGACCTGTCTGCTGTGGGTGGATGTGAAATCCACGTGCCTGCTGGAGGTTCTAACAGGAGGGAGGGAAGTAGAAAGGGGGAAGAGGAAGAGGCCTGATAATTTCCAAATTATTGAATTGCCCTGCACAGCCGAGGCTCTGTGATATGTTTGAACTGTGTAAACTTCCCCAAACCTTAATTATTAGTGCTAACTGGGGACAGAGAGAATATACATCATTGAAATTTCTGCACCAATTATTTCCATTTCTGCTTCACCCAGCCTTCCCCAGAGCTGCTAGTAATTAGCAAACTTGATTGATTCGAGTATCACCTTTTGTTCACCACCTCTTTCCCCTATGGTCTTTATGGTTCACTAACATACTTAAAATAATTAGTCTGAATAATTACCCCATTCATTCAGATCATGAATGTGTTACCAGGGAAGTTGTACTAACATTTCCTCTCTGTAATTTTAGGAAAGCGAAGACTAAAGAATTATTGTGCAGCCAGCTTACAGGTGCTACTAAGCTGTACCACCTGAATATGAGCACGGTGTGGGATTTGACAGAAGTCTAAGGCACACCCCTGTCTTTGAGAGACACTGTTTAGTTTGGGTCCCCCCCACCCACTCCCATTAAATCTGATTTAATGAAAGGAAGGGTGTTTGCTTGGTATGAGCTTTTTTTAAAGCTTCAAAGGTGATTCTAATGTGCAAGTAGGGTTGAAAAACACTAGTCTCGTTTGAAAGAGGAGTGACAGCATGCATACACATACGTGCACGCACGCACACATGCACACACACATGCATGCACACACATACATGCACATGTGCACACCCATGTATGCACACACACGGGCACACACATGCACACGCATGCGCGCGCGCACACACACACACACACACACACACACTATGACAGAAGGTGAGCTGACCTGTTTTTTCCTGGTACTGACTCTTCATTTCCTAGGAGATCACAGGGCTTTGTGGAAGAAGATGTGATTTGTCCTGAGACCTGAACACTGGGTGGGATGGGCCCAAGGGAAGGGACGGGCACTCAACACTAATCAAGATGGGAACCCCGCGGGGAGTGGTTAGTGTTAGTTGTGGTACGCTAAGTATACACTCAGTGTGGCCTACCTGGTGTTTTAAGTTGCCATTTATGAAGTGCCTATGATGTACCAGGCATAGCATAGCAATGTACACTCTGTACATGGTTTCTCACACAGTCCCCTCAACAGCCCAGTGATGTGCATTGTGTTACAGATGAGGAAACTAGAGGGGAAGTATTTCCCCAAGACTCCAGAGCTAGTAGATGGAGCTGAGAAGCAAATGCAGATCTAGGCAGATCTAAAGACACCTGCTCTAGGATCTTTATAAGACAGAGGGTGGGGCGTTCCAAAGAGGCAAAGATCAATAGTGTTCATGGGGCGATCAGATGCAGGCTCAAGGAGGGGGACACTTGAGCAGGCCTGGGGAGGGCTTCCTTGACATGGAACTATTAGGGAGCACTGGGAGATGGGTTGCACAGGACAAGCTCTAGTGGCGTGGAAAGGAAGCAGAATTTAATTCATGAGATGGGGGCACAGGGAGCCACTGAGGTTTCCTGAGGGGTTTGGTCAATATGAGATAATGAGTGGAAGATTGATCTAGAATCCCTAGTGGGTAGAACAAACGGGGGCACAGCAGGGAGGAGTCCAGGAATCCTGCGGGAGCAATCCAGGAGCGGGTGAGGTAGGGGGAACGAGATGAGGTTGGAGGGGAGGGATGCAGATATCTTAAAAGAAAAAGAGCTGCAGCATAGAGGCTGAACAGATATGGGGATCAGCTGTCAGCGTGAAGGAAACATAATTCCAAAGCTCGGCTCCTTGGCCAGCAGGGCGATGGCGTCTCCTACAGTGGAAGAGGCTGGAAAGGAAATGCTCTTTTGTTTGGAGGTGCTCTCACCTAGTGGGAGCTGGAAGGGCAGAGGAGCAAGAACAGTGGGGAGCAGTGTGGTGAAAACCAGAAAGGACAAGCTCAGGGCAGAGGGGCCATGGGGCACAAGGAAGAGTAGCAGTCCTTCAGATTTGGCGGGGAGGGAATGAGGACCTTTGAGGAAGCCCTCCGGCCCCAGGGTTTACTTAGAGCTAGAGGGCTCCTGGGACTGTTTGAATATAAAGAAGTGGTTACTGGAGAAGCAGCAAGTAGAGATGCTGGAGAGAGAGGAACTGCTTAGAGCAAGGTCCCCCGCGGTTGGAAAAGGAATCCAGTCGGGATGCAGGGGCTGGGGCAGGACTGGAGAGCAAGAAGAGTGGAGATGTGATGGGGCAGAGGTGTGTGGGGCTTGAGGAAAGGTGAGCCTGGCCCAGACAAGCCACCGCACCTCAGGACAGTGGGAGCCACAGGCACCTGGTTTAGTGGAGTTTGCATGCGGGTGAAGAGGCAGGGGCAACCTGAACTCTGCTCTGGGCCATCTGCCAGGGGAACCCTGAGCTGGTGGGCTGCAGGGGACCAGAGCCAGTTCATGCGTACAGCACCTGTGTGCTGAGGCCCAGCCAGCGGGACCACCCAGCCCTTCCCTTCCCCCTACTAAATAGCTGTTTGGCCATGGGACCATCCACTGCCTGACCTCCGGGGTGTCCTCAGGGCTGCCAAGATGCTCCTCATGACCATAGTGTTCCCGTTGGCTTTGCCTATCTGCCTTTCCCCACTTCTCTGGGCTCCCCAAAGGCAAAGACAGTGTCTTACTGATCTTTCTATCTCAACTGGCCAGCACAGACTGGCACTCAGAAGGTGATCAACAAACAATGGTGGAGTGAATGAAGGAATGAATGAATGAACTGTAGGAAGGTCATTAGACACACCTCAGCAGAGTGAGGTCATGGCTGAGGGGACATTGATCACGGAGATGTTTAGATGCACTCAGGCTGACCCTAGACCCTTTGGAATGATTGATGATGTTATAAGATCTTCTTGTATCTCTGAACTTCACTGACCCTTTACCTCCTTCCAAATCCCAGTCTCCACTGGCCAGTCTTTTTAATGCATCTCGCTTTCTGTAAACCACCTAGTGACTTCAAAAGCTCAAGTGATTCCCCAGACAGAACCGAAGGACCCATCTCCTTCTGTTTACTCCCCATCCTGCCTGAGGTTTATTATTTAATGTCCTAATGTTTCCTGTGAGCGTGCTTTTGAGACAACACTCCTACTGTGGTCTGAGAGTTCTGCATGCTAAAGGGTAACGTGAGAACACCGGTATGCAAGATGTCTTCCCAGACTCCTCAGGCTTTGCTGCCAAGACTCACTTTATGGTAATTCTTTACAGATCGTCTTAAACTTCACATACATGGATTTGTTTAAAAGCCGGCTGTGCTGGTACGATTACGTGGAGGTCCGGGATGGTTACTGGAGGAAAGCCCCCCTTTTGGGTAAGTTGACTTTAGACAACATTAAGAGAGGCGTGATCGGATGTTCCCTGGGATGCTGTTAATGTTTGGAAGGTCCACCTTGACAACGGTCACAGGAAGCTCTCAAGGGCCTCTGTCATTGTAAAACTCTGAGCACTCCATTTAGCCACACATGTTAAAAGCTTTTAAAACTGCAAATACCCTTTGACCCAGCAATTCCACTTTTTGGAATTTATCCTAGGGAACTAATTAAGGAAGTGTGCAAAGCTCTAGCTGCAGGGATGTTCACTGAAGCAGGAAAAATTGCAATTTAAATGTTCAACAGTAAGGTTTGGCTGAACAAATTATGATCCATCTTTTCCATGGAAAACTCCCCGGCCATTAAAAATGAAGTTGGAGGTGACTGCGTTACACACAAAAAAGTATGTTACAAAAATAGAATAAGCAGTAGGATTCCACTTTAATGGCAAAATACATTTATGTATTAAGTATATATAATGCAGGCATTGCAAATGTAGACGCCTTAAAGGATAATGCAAAAATGAAGGAGCTGGGATTGGTGTAATAAACTAAAGAGTGGTAAGGGGAGTGTGGTGAACTGAACACCAAGTATCCTGTTCAAAATTATTCCAAATGAAATTACTTAAAGCCTGCATACAGGCTGAATTGAACTAGAAGACATTACTTTATGATGTACAATATAAATCTCAAGTAAAACTATAAATACACCTAAATAACACACTGGTTATTTCAGGATGATAGAGTGTTTTTAAAATGTATTCTGTTGTTCTTGGTTTAGCTATAGTTTCCAATTTTTCTATGATGAGCATGGATTGTTTTTGTGAGATGAATAGGGCATGAATAGGGCATGGAAAGTTAGCTTGGAGCTTTGAGTGAGACACAGTGGGCAGGTAGTGTAACAAGAAAGATTAGTTCACCCCAGAGAGATCTCTCATGGATGACAGGGGAGGGTAGCCTTGTCTAGATGGCCCATGACTCCAGTGTCTCGGGAGTGGACACTGGGACTCATTCAGCCTGGGAATGGCAGCCGTGGTGGAGCTAGAGAGAGACAGAAGTGACCAGGAGCCAGATGGGAGGGTCTTGGCTGAGAGTGGGTTGTCCTCACTCTTAGAGGAGTCTGTAGGGTAGACTCCAGCTTGGACAAGCCTAAGCGCTCAGTGAGAACTTTGTCCCTAGCACATATTCACATGAGCAGAAACAACTTGTTATGGTGCAGCTGATGCACCTGAGAGCGAGCTGGTGTTGGGTGGTTGGCTGAGATGGAGACGGCAAAGAAGGGAGAGGGCTAAACTGGGGGGTGTCACTGCGAGACCGAGCCCTGACTTCACGCAGGATTCTGGGGAGCCAACGCTGGGATAGATGAGAAGAGGCCTGGACAGAGGGGCTGGCTGGACTCAAGGTAGCCTGGCAGACACTAATCTTTTGTGTGACTGAGGGGTCCCAGGCTACCACCATTAAGAGGAGTCAATCAGGTAGTCAGCTGTCCAGGCAGACAAGCCAAGGAAGTGATCCCCAGGCCAAGCATGGACAGAGGACAGAAGCATGTATACTGCAGGACCAGTGGGGTCCGCCCCGCAATGGCAAGGCAGAGCCTGCCTTCCTTGGATTTCTGTTCCCTGCCTCCCATGAGCAGGCATGTTACTCTCCAGCAGCCGGAAGGAGTGTCTGGCTTTACAGGTAGCACTGTTTGCATGTGGCAAAAGACAGAGGGCTGGGTTCCCAGTAGCAAAGGTTTCCAAATTTGGCTGGACGTCAGAACTTCCTGGGAAGATTTCTGTGAATACAGATTCCTGGGAGACCACCGAATTGGAATCCCCACAAGCTGGGTCAGAGAATGATCCTATTTACCTTTATATAAAAGGGCATGTGCCCAAATCTACTACCACATACGTGGAAAGTATGCCCACTACCACAAGTATGCCCATCTAAGTGCTGAAGGTGATTACCTCTGAGGAGGGAAGCGTGGGCGTAGTGGGCAGCTTCAGGATTTGTTTTGTATACTTCTCCATTGTTTGAATCTTTTATAAGAACACCTTCAGGTATCATTCTATAACAAAATAATAAAAAGAGCTATGTGGGAGGAGTTTCATGAGCACATTGGATCACAGACCCCACAACCTGGCAGAGACCTTACAGTCACTTAATCCCACACTTTCATGAGAAAACCAAGCTCCCCAAGTGTGGACTAACTCTAAGGCCGCTCAGCCAGCTAGTGGCTGAGATCAGACCAGAATTCTGACGTCCTGGTGAAGGGGAGCGGTGGCTGCTGAACCTCTCAGCAGGTGCCAGATAAAATACATGATTTGCTGTTTATCTGAAATTCAAATGTACTGGGCTTCCTTGAGTTTCGTTTGCGAATCTGGCAACTCTCTACCTCCTGCCTTCCAGGAATGGGATAGATTTAAAGGCTTAAGAGGAGGAAGCTCTCTGTTACTGAAGTCCCCCAGAGCGGGCCAAGGCACGTTCCTAAGAATGGGCATGGGCAGAGAGATTTCCAGGAGTTCCTTTTTCTTGAACTTGAAACAAGAATTTTCTCATTACAGATCCTGGTATCTCTGGCTACATTTCATTAATGAAATGGGACTTTTGCCGTTCGTTGGTGGTAGTGATGTTTTGTTGTTGTTGTTGTTGTTTTGAGTTCTTTTTTTTGGGCTCATATCTTACCCACTTTTATTTTGTGTGTGTGTGTGTGTGTGTGTGTGTGTGTGCAGAGTGCCAGCGCCTGTAACCGTCGTTCTTCATTTGCAGTTCTCTTTTGCCAACTATTTGGCCTGCTCTGATGTTTCCAAATGCAGTTGTTAGTGAGCTTTTGTGTTTGGAACAAGTGCATTGTGTCGGCAGAGCTGGTCCCTGGGAGGGGTCAGTGCCATGAAATCTGCTGGGAGGAGGCAGGTCAATGCCCCTTTGGCAGGAGGGAGAGCGGATTAGGGCGGATTGTGAAAGTATGCATCTTGCTCTGAAAACTGTGCATCGCATTTTTTCCCAGGGCCGTGTGTGAAAATCCAGGCATAATGGACGCATAACTTTTTATGAATGAACCCTTTATGACTCCCCATGGAGCCCACTTGTAGTGTCCTCATCTGCATTTCCTCTTCTTGATATCCTTATTAAACTCCTCCTCTAAATCCAGGAACCGGATTTCAGTGCAGGAATCTGACACGTTTTCTCTAGTCCAGTTTCTCTCCAGCCTGCTTAGTTTCCTTGGAAGGAGGCTATTTTTCAAGACCCAGGTTTTCACATAGTGATTAAAGGGAAAAGTTGATGGAGAATATTTCACGGCTGGTTAAAGATATCAAATTGGTTTAGCAGTTTTGGGGTCCCTTATGATAGATATTGCACCTAAAGCAGGGAGAAAGTTGGCTGCAGAGAGAACTCATTCAGTGATCTTAAATTCTGTCCTGTAAATTGGATTCCCTCCATTATTTCTGTTAGAGGAATTACTCTAACAATGCACTTTTGTATGCAGAACTGTCTTTGGGCATTCGGTATCACCACAATGCACACAAAAGCCCTTTTTCCCCCTTTCCCTTAAATGGGGAGGGAAGTTCAGAAAGGCCAGGCTGGCCAATCCCTGTCGTGTGGCCCCACTACTCAGGCTCCCTAGCCAGGGGCAGCCTCTCAAATGAGCAGAAATGATGGAGTGAGTCAAACAGCCAAGGCTGGCATTTCCACAGAATTGCTTTATGGTTTGAGGCTCTAATCTTCATTCCTATTTGTCTGTCTCCAAACTGGTGAATGGCGATGACATCTACATTACTAGAGAGTAGATACGATGTCTAGTTATCCAAAATTCTACATGTTCAGAATTGCACCTCGGTCAGTGAAGTGGTTTTTTGTTTGTTTGTTTTGATGGTAGTGGTGGTGATGATGAAGAAGGTGATACCAATGATGAAGGCCTCAGACTGCTCCGGTTCAAATCTTACTCTTACAGATTTAAGACAAATTCTCTGACCCTCGGTTTTCACGTCTGTGAAATGGGATTAATGATAGTATCTAATTCAGAGAGTATCGGGGATGAAATGAGATGATCCATGTAAACTGCGTGGGACAGTGTCTGGCATAGACATAGTAAAACAGGAGCTTTTATGAGAACCATTATGGTGAAGATGAGAACACTGAGACATCAGTTAGGGTGGAGGATTCTAGTTAAGATGACAAAGTGATTTGGGGAGAGCGCTTAGGAATAATTTGTCATTTGTTCTACCAAGTTTTGCCAAGGCAGTAAAATACACCAGAGGCTGCAATTCCTGCCTCCTGTAGAGTACTGAGCAGAGGCCGGCTGTCTAATGGCCCTTGGGTGGTGGGTGGTTCATCTCATCTGCTTAGGTCCCTGGGAGGAGATGCAGTGAAAGTCCCCCTGTCTTCTGGAAACAGACCTCAGCGGCTGTGACAGCTGGGCTTTAAAAGGAGAAACTTGGATTTGAAACTTGGGCTAGGCTCAGAAGGAATTCCTTTTGTGACTGTCTAATTGCTCCGTGTCCTCATTGGTAACCCGGACTTCCCCAGGCTCGCCTGTCATTTTCCAAAAATGGCTTGACACTAATTGGCCATGCCAGAGAAACCATTACTGAAAATTTAGAGGCTTCTGGTGGATTTTTTTCTTGCCAAATACTTGGCAGGAGTTTCATCTCATCTTACTTAATATTAAGCTTCTCAAATCCAAAAGGCTGCAGGTGGTCAGAATCGGTAGGAAGCAGAGGAATTTAGCAACCTATACCCCCATGTTGCTCCAAAACATGTACAACACAGCTGGCCGTTAGGAGATGCCCACAGTGGCCTTTACCCCTCCCCTAACCTCATCTGCTCACAGCCTCGAGTGGCTTGTCCACTGCCTAACATAGCACTGGCACTCAGAGTACCCGTGACATACCTGTTAAATGGACTTTTAAAAAATATTCAGATATGCCAGGGGTGATGGCTCACACCTGTAATCCCAGCACTTTGGGAGGCCAAGGCGGGAGGATTGCCTGAGCTCAGGAGTTCGAGACCAGCCTGGGCAACATGGTGAAACCCCATCTCTACTAAAATACAAAAAATTAGCTGCACATGGCAGCGTGCGCCTGTAGCCCCAGACACTCAGGAGGCTGAGGCAGGAGAATTGCAAGAACCAGGGAGGCGGAGGTTGCAGTGAACTGCGATTGTGCCACTGTACTCCAGCCTGGGCAACAAAGTGAGACTCCATCTAAAAAAGTATATATATATATATATATATATATATATATATATATATATTCATTCAGATATAATTTCCGGACCATGCAATTCACGATTTAAAGTATACCAGTCAGTGGTTTTTAGCATGCTCACAGAGTTGTGTCACCACCACCAATTCTAGACATACTCCCAAAGAAGACCCATGCCCTTAGCAGTCACTCCCCATTCCCCATAGCCCCCCAGTGCTAAATCCATTCTCTGAGTGACTCACACAGTAGGTGCTTGGTAGAACCATGGTCTTCCAGTCCAAACAGACCGTGGCCAGTCTGTGCTCTGAACTGATCAGTAAGGATGAATTCATCTCCTACCTCACCCTGGGCTGCCATCCTGACGTGGCAGCAGAAATAGATGGGCAAGAATGACCAGGTACTGGGAAGACCAGGCCTCTATGGAGGCTCCAGATTTCAGACCACGTGCCCAAGTGTCTAAGAAATACAAATTGATTTATTTTTTTCCACTAACAAAAGTTTCTGTCTGTGATGTGCCCCCTTTCCATCAGATAGTAGGGACTTGATTTAGGTCAATCTGTGTTTTCAGTTTTGGTCAATTTATATGTCCTGTTTATGCCAAGGTTTGGTGGTAGGGGAGGCATCTATCCTGCCACCCTGACTGGCATCGCTGGGATGTCCTCATCCCCAACCAGTGAGTCCTCTGTCTAGTGAGAGGCTGCTGGGCTTCCTCCTTGTATCAGCCCTAGGCCAGTTCAGAATGGGGCCAGGTCCACATTCCCCTAGAGGCTTGGGAGACATTCTATCTACCCTCATCCTCTGGGCTATGGGAAAGTCACTTCCATCCCCCTCTTGGGCCTGGAATCATGATGCTGCCATCCTGCCGTGCTTTGCCTGAGGAGCTCTGCATGCCTGCCTCAGGGCCAAATGTCTGCACAATCACACAGACACTTCTCTGCTGTCCTCGGGGGGGGGGGGGGGGGGGGGGGCACAGCATGGGAATCCAGGGCCTTGCTGTCACTGTGAACTCTGCCCAGGGACTGAGGACACAATTTTCTGCTTCTCTTAGATTCTTAAACCTAGCTGGGATCTCTTTCCAGCCAGGGTCTCAGCTCAAGGTGAGCTGGGGAACGGGTCCTTTTAGGGGCTCCCTGGTGCTCTCCCTCTAGTCCTCTCACTCCATCCTGGGAACCCTCCTGCAGCTAGCAGGTGGGGGGAAGCATGGTGCACTCTTTCAAATCTTTGCTATTGCAACTAGGTTTGTGAAATGTAAAAGCCAAGATGGGTTTATTTCTTTGCTCTGGCATTTTATTTCTCTGGCATTCCTTTCCAAGGCAAGGAAAGCAGAATGTCTAAGGCCCCACAAAGGGAAGGGCATACATGCAACAGGAAATACCAGGAAAGGAAGTCTGCACTCTTGTTTCACCACTTTTTCCCCATCACACCTTCAGAGCCTCAGCAACACCCACGAGGCAGGGGAGAGGCTGCCCTGGCTCTGGATTCTTTGACGAGAATCTGGAATTCTCAAGTTAGCCTGAGTAAGAATTAAGTCACACATCACCGTGTGCCTCTTGCAACCCCATCTTTTGATCCTCTGGGTCTGCTACAAGATAAGTTGTCCCAGCCAGGGTTATTGCTCACTTCAGACCACGTGTGAAGAACCCCAACCTCCTCCCAGCCTGAAGCGAGTGCCTTCTTGCTGTCCCCAGCCTCCTAACTGCTTCTTTCCCACCATCCAGGCAGGTTTTGCGGCGACAAGGTCCCGGAGCCCCTGTTCTCCACAGACAGCCGGCTCTGGGTGGAGTTTCGCAGCAGCAGCAACATCCTGGGCAAGGGCTTCTTTGCGGTGTATGAAGGTTTGTGCGTGGTGAAAGCAGCCCCTCGGTGGCTCCTCCTAAGCCCGATCCTTCCCAGGGAGCCTGCTGTCCCTCTCCCAGCCCAGGCACTCCAGGCCAGAGCCATGGGGGTGGGGGCAGCCACTGCAGGGGGCAAGCTGAGGATTTCAGAGCTTCCCCATACCCACTGGAATCAGAACCTCTGGGAGGTGTGGCCCCAGCTGCCACAGTTTGCAGCATTCTGGAAGGAGAGGCCAGCTGTGCCCACTTCAGCAGTGGTGTCCTCCTCCTCACGCCAGCCCGCTCAACCCTCATTCCAGGCCAGCTGAGGAGTTGGCTTCCCCTTACAGGATGGTATGGGGGTCTAGAACCCTGTGGAAATGACAGCAGCCTCTGAATCGCCGTGTGAGCCTAAGCAAAGAACCTGTTCTCTCTGGGCCTTTGTTTCCTTTGTGAAAAGGAAGGCTGTGGGCAACATTGAGAAATTTCCAACGGCATTTCTTAGAAGGGCCTCTGAGGCCACCCTGGTGACTGAGTAGAGAGAACCAATAGGTCTGGGCTCTAGGCAGCTGCCACCAGGCGATGCTGCTTCCATTTCTTCTATGTCCTTTTTTTTTTTTTTTTTTGAGACGGATTCTTGCTCTGTCGCCCAGGCTGTAGTGCAATGGTGCTCTCCCGGCTCACCGCAACGTCCGCCTCCCAGTTTCAAGCAATTCTCCTGTCTCCGCCTCCCAAGTAGCTGAGATTACAGGTGCGCACCACCACTCCCCACTAATTTTTGTATTTTTAAGTAGAGACGGGGTTTCACCATGTTGTTCAGGCTGGTCTCAAACCCCTAACCTCTTGATCCACCCGCCTCAGCTTCCCAAAGTGGTGGGATTACGGGCGTGAGCCACCGCGCCCAGCTTCTTCTGTGTCTTTAGCTTCTCTGGCTCACTCCCCACCGCACCAAAAAAAAAAAAAAGAAACTACCAGAAAATTATCAAGGATCCTTTAGCCTTAAATTACCAAGGGTCCTTTGGCCTTAAATTGTTATGATTTTAGAGAGACTAAAGTTTTTTGTAAAATAAGTAATGTGCACGGGTCCCTCCCTACCAGGGATCCTGTACCCTTTACCTTGAATCAGCTGGAGAACTTCGCGGCTACTCAGGGCTCCCCCACACCCACTGGAATCAGAACCTCTGGGGGATGTGGCCCCAGCTTCCACAGTTTGCAAACTCCCCCAGGCGATTCTGATGCACAGCGAAGATAGGGAACCACTGCTTTATGTGGCTTTTTCTTTATATGAAAAAAATTTCGGACTTAAGACAAATGCAATCCTGCCTTTCCGGAGGCCCGGTGTTTATGGGGTGGAGATGAAAATGCTGGCGAGTGGAGCCACCTAGCGGTGACAAGCGGCCCCCACCTTCCTTCCAAAGATCTGACCGGGGCTCCGTCTTCCTCCCCTGTTATCTCGTTCTAAAGCTACCTGCGGGGGAGACATTAACAAAGATGCCGGTCAGATTCAGTCTCCCAACTACCCGGATGACTACAGACCTTCCAAGGAATGTGTCTGGAGGATTACGGTTTCCGAGGGGTTTCACGTGGGACTTACCTTCCAAGCTTTTGAGGTGAGTGCTGCTCAGACCGGCTTCCCAAGGAAACGGCAACTTTTGCTAGACACCCTCCTCTTTGTAAAGATGGGTTTTCATTTTTGGCTAAAAACAGGAACCTAAGAGGCCATTCTCAAGCCCATGGTGAATCGTGCCTGGACATCTGATATCAACATCTGTGCAGGCTTTGAAATGGGGTTCGTTGCCTTTCTAAGAGCAGTAAGAGAGATTGAGAATAATAATAACTGAAAATTCAGGATGGGATCCAGGGAGGTTTGGTAGAATTGTTCTTCTCTGTTTATTGTCTTAGACTCTTCTCAGCTTGATTCACCCTTGGCTTCTGCAAGTCAGGAGAGAGCTAGGAAGCAGCATGGAGACACCTGGGACACAGTTAGGTCCTTTGGCCTCTTGGTTAGATTTTGAGAGTGATATTTGGGTTCTCTTCTTAAGAACTTTAAAGCGGAACCATCTGCCATCCACCTTGCCTCTGTTTCTTCCTTTAGATCGAAAGGCACGACAGCTGCGCATATGACTACCTGGAAGTCCGGGATGGCCCCACGGAAGAGAGTGCCCTGATCGGCCACTTTTGTGGCTCTGAGAAGCCAGAGGACATGAAATCGAGCTCCAACAGAATGTGGATGAAGTTTGTGTCCGATGGCTCTATCAATAAAGCGGGCTTTGCGGCCAATTTTTTCAAGGGTATGAATTAGCAGTTTGTTTCCACCTTTAGGCACAAGAAGAAATATTGCTCCCCCTGGCTTAAAACACATAAAACCGTATGGAAACTTACTACCAAACAAGGCTCCCTGCAGAGAAGACAGCCATGCATTTTAGAGCGGGTGCAGGCCCCCAGCAGAGTTCCCAACTGATCAGGAGCAGGCTCAGCCTTGGCTTCCACACGACAGAAAGTTCTGTACTTGGAAATTCGATCTAACAAGTTTACAAAGGCAAAGTACACAGGTTGTGAAACTGAGCATGGATAACAACAAATATTTGGATAGCAGCGAATATTAATTGATCACCTACTGTGTACCAAGAACTGTGTAAGGTACTTACTTGACTTACATAATGCCATTTAATTCTCCAAATAACCCTTTGAGTTAGGTTTGGATCAAGGCTGGGAAGGGCTTCTCAGGATCATGCAGGCAGTTAAGCGGCAGGTCAGGGGTCCCAAACCCGCTGGCCTAATTCCTAAGCTCAAACTCTTTCCGCAACGTTGCCACTCTTCCTTGCTGTGGGCCCGAGAGGGAACCCAGGTGTCCAGCTCCTGGAACTAATGGCAGCGCCCCCAGACTACATGCTTACCCCCACATGATGGGGGTCGGAGGAGAGTAAGGGGGTGGCACTCTGGGAACAAATATTGCCTTGGGGACCTGCTGCTCTGGAGGGTCCTGATGGAACAAGGCCCAGAATGGCATGTGCAGACCCAGCTTTCCTGACCCCAGAAGAGCCAGCTGCCAAGCCTCCTCTGAATGGGCAGGTGCTCCTTCTCTGAAGCCCTTAAGACCACACCCTAAGAGGGAAGCACAGCTGCTCCCCATGCATTGGCCCTGGGCGCCCTGGAGCACAGCAGCCACCCTTGGGTAGAAACATTCAGTCCTCTGCTGCTGTGGCCTCTTAATCAGTGACCCCCCCCTTCCCAGCTCCCCTCCCACTTGTGCTTGCCCAGAGGCTGCTTTCTCCTCCTCCCTCCTCTCCTAGGACTCCTGGCTGAGCCAGCACAGAAATCCCAGTCCCTCCCCTGGCTCCCACTCTCCCCTTCTGCCCTTAGAGCTTCTCCCAGGTTTTGCATGGACAGCCTAGGTACGGAAGAACCCACTTCTGCAGTAGCACCCGGAGCAGGCAGTCATTTGTCCTTACTGAAGCCTCAGTTTTCCTCTCTGTAAAATAGGAAAGACATCTGCCCACTGTGCCTAAGCAATTGTTGTGAAGCCCCCAAAGAAAGGACGGCTGTGGAGGCACTTTAAAATCTAGCAAGTGACAAGCAAGGGCTGGGGCTGTTCCTTTTTCCTATTTTGAGGCATCGGGAAAGAGCAAAACCCAGACAGCAGCAGAGCAAGACTCGTGACAGCTCTGAAGGATTGGAGACAAAACTGAGTTGTTTCTCAAGTCAGAAAAACAAAACAAACAACAAAAAAAACCAGGCCACAGCAAGTGGCCACAGCAAGTGTACTTTGAAAGCAGGTCAGCTTGTGATGGCACAGGGCAGATATGACAGCTTTAGTTGAGATGCCTGGAAATTCACAGCCCCCGCCCCGCCCTTGCCCAGCCTGCACGTACCTGGTGTCTCCCAGCCTGGGGTGCCCCCGTCTGACTTGGCAGCAGTGACACTGGCTGGGTGGCCTCAAGCAAGTTGCATGATTTCTCCAGTTGCACAGCTTCTGTTGCACAAGCTCCAGGAGAGACAGTGCTGCCAGGTGACTGCAAGGTTGTTGTCAGGTGCAAGTGAACACACCCAGTCTAATGCTTAGTCCCATTAATTGCCTTTGCTGGGGAAGCAATCTTTGAGGTGGTTATTCTTTTCGGAAAAACACATGCTACAATTTCTTCTTGCTATTGTGATGGACTGATTTCCTATTGCTGCTATGGCAATTTACCACAGGCTTGGGGGCTTAAAGCAACACATGCTTACTATCCTACGGTGGTGGAGGTCAGAAGTCTAACACAGGTCTCACTGGGATAAAATCAAGGGTGGGGTGCAGGGCTGCATTCCTTCTTGAGGCTCTGAGGGAGAATCTACTTCCTTGCCTTTTCTAGCTTCTAGGAGCTGCCTAAATTCCTTGGCTTGCGGTCTTCTTCCATGGTCAAAGCCAGTAAAGGCTCATGTGTCACACCCATGCCCGCTGCCTCACAGACCTCTGCTCCTGTCTGCTCATCTCCTCCTCCTGACCTAACTTCCCTCCACCTCTTTCCCTGACGTGGATCTGGTGTTGACCTTGGGCCCACCCAGATAATCCTGGAGAATCTCCCCGTCTCCAAGATCCTTCATTTAACCACACCTGCAGAGTCCTTCTTTAACCTAATTAAGAGCCTTCATTTAACCACACCTGCAGAATCTGTTACATGAAGGTAACAGATTCACAGGTTGCAGAGGCCAAGCTGTAGACAGCTTTGGAAGGCCTTATTCTGCTTCCCATGTGTCATGAATGATTATGAGGTTGTTATTCTAATTCTGTTTATTCTAGTCCTCTTGGCCTTCTCCTCCCTTGACTTCCACCCCAGAGTCTGTAAGTTGGGTGCTGGGCTCCATTCCAGGGGGATAACTGGTAACCACTGACCATCCACACCTCACTGCTGATGCTGCTGGTGATCAGCAATGCACAGTCCGAGAGGACCAGCTAAAGCTGGAGATTAGCCTTGCCAGATTTAGGAAATTAAACAACAACAACAACAAGATGTCCACTTAAGTTTGAATTTTTTTTTTTTTAGTATATGTCCCAAGTATCCCATACTGTGCTGAGAAGAGATTGATGGTTTATCTGAAAGTCAAATTCAACCGGACCTCTTAGATTTTTTATGGAAATCTTGCTGGAGAGGCCAGTCAGGGCCATGGAAGGGAGTGTTTCTGTGATGCTCACTGGTTTGCAGGAGACCGAGTATGTGCCTGGAACTGCTCAAGTAACCATGATAGCCAGCTCCATTTGCCAGTTAGAAGATGCCACCTCCCTCCTCCCCATCTAGTGAGCTTTCAGCATGCATCAGTCTATGTGTTGGTGCCCTGCTAGGGCTGGAGACACCGAGGAACGCACACAGTGGTTGTCCCCAAGTGCTCAAGGTGGTGAAGGAGATCAGCAGCAAATGCGCCGTGACCTTGCTGCGTGGGTGTGGACCTCAGTGGAGGCTGTGAGACTCAGTCTGGGATGGGGCCCAGATTATCCTGTGTCCTACTTTGAGGGCATTTCAATTTGCAAACATCTTTTTAGATCCCTGTTGAAGTGTGGATTGAGGCCCACCCAAAGTAACTTAGTGCGTAGACCCAGCTTGACTTTTTTATGGTAAGGAGAACTGCAGAGAACAACATTTAGGAAAGAAGAAATACACAACATTGACCTTGACCATGAATCTGAAACTAGGAAACAGGATTAGCAGAAACCTCATCTAGACCTACTAAATTGGGGATAGGACATCTATGCCATGCTGGCCACCTGTCAGGATCTATGTTATCTCACTTTTCTTCATTACAATCCCCTGGTAGGAATTATTGTGGCCACTGTTTTCCAGTTGAGGAAGCTGAAATCCTAACGTGGCTGGGCTGGAACTAGAACCTGGGTCTGTAGGATTCCACAATCCACTCTGTTTCTACTAAGGAGACCTGAAAGCCACAGGGAAGGAACTTGAAGGGATTGGAATTTTTCCTTAGTGTTTGTGATTCCATTCTGACACTGGTCACCTTTCCACCTTCCAGATACCAAAAAGGCGTTGGCAAAAAGGGCTCTGGATGTGGCAAGTGGAGTTCGGGATGCTGGCCCCGTGTTCCCTGCTAGCTCCCGGCTCTTTTGCAGATTAGCTTCCCTTTCGGTGACCGGGTCACACCTGCTTTACTCCTCGACGTGGTCCCTCCCAGTGCTTGGCACACAGTAGGCTCAGTAAATACCTAGTGAGCGATGAAAGAATGGATAGATCAATGAATGAATGGGGCTCAGTTTCCCTGTTGGTGGAGTGGGCATCCTGCTTCCTGCTCTGCCTCCCTTGCCAGGCTCTCTGGGAGAAGAGCAGGTGAGAGACTGCAGCCTGTGCGACTCTGTCCAACAGAAACAGGAGACGAGGCACAACCACGAGCATCGGTGGCTTTGAATTTGCCGGCAGCTGCCTTGCAAAAAAGGAGAAAGTGGCGACATGAATTTCAATGACATTTTTATTTAATCTAACATACAAAATAATATCATTTTAATACATAAGCAACATACACAATATTAATGAGCTATCTTATTGTTTTCATATTAAGTCTTGGAAATCCAGTGTGTGTTTTATGCTTGTGGCACAACTCCACTTGGACCGCTACATTTCAGGTGCTCAGTAGCCATGTGTGACTGGGGGCTGCCGTATCAGACAGTACAGGTCAAGAGACTGGGCCCAGCCAGCTTCTCCAGCCCAGCCTTTTTCCAGCAAGGCCATCGGTCAGATGTCCTGTGAACACAAAGTACCCAGCGCGTGTGTCAGGACTTCTCCAGTGAAAAAAACTGGAAGAGGAGCTCAAAGGCCCAGCCGAAGAGCTGGAGCAAGCCAAAGAAGCTCCTGCCTTGGTGCCAGTTGGCAGGCGCTCTGCCCAGGGCCCAGCTGGCGCCTGAAGCTGGCCAGGGTGCCAGTTGGCCTCTGCACCCCTTCCTTGTGCCAGATGGCAGTCTCTCTCGGAGCCTGCTGGCCGGCAGCAAGAAGAGCACCTTACATTTGTGGTTACTTTGGGAGAAGTCAGCAGCACTCAAGGGCTGGCAGGGCCATTTTGGTCCCATGCCCCCCACATAAAGAATTAAAGGATTCTCACCTGGATCCCTCCCTCCCCCAGCCCAGTGCTGATAGATCACCATGAAGGGCTTGGTAAGGGGACTGGCTTCCTTCAAGGGATTTCTTCAAAAGCCTAAGAAGGTGCCCTGCCTTCCCTTTCTTAGACTTTCTCTGAACAATTTTTGGGATCCTGTCTGAGCCATCTCATCCTCTAAGCACTTCTTTCTTTCGCTGATCCCACCTGGACAATGAGAAGACTCCAGAGCACCTGCTATGCTAAGCTGAGCCCTGCTTCCACTCTCTTCTCCTCCCATGCTCTCCCAGATTTTTCTGGGAGGCTTGGCCTTGGCCTCTGCAGCCCAGAGCAAGCACGAGCCAGTGGGCTTGGAGCAGGTACTGTTTTACCGCAGTGGGAGGTGACATGGGCAGCCCTGACCCCTCTGAAGACAGGGCCCCATGCACCTCTGTGCCATCCAGCCAAGCTGGAGCAGGGCTGTAAATGGCCAAACACCCCACGGCTCCTGCTAGAGAGAGCTCAGGTGCAAAAGCATGCCTTTCATCTACCTCCCAACGCCAAGTACCTTACCTTCTAGTCTCTGGAGGAATTATGTTTTTTGCTTTCACCCCAAGTCTATCCAGTGGGTTCTCTCCCTTCACCTGGCTAAGATGGCGCCAAGAGACTTGCTCCTCTATACACCTCTTTCTGCCATGTGTCCTGCCCACAGCCACAGCATCTTCTGGCAACAGAGTCTCCTTCTGCCCCTAGCCTTGGTCCTTTGTCATCTGTCTCTCCTGATGGGCTCTTTCCTTGGTTTCCTTCTGCTTCCTCCCTAGGTCCCCCAGCCGGTGTCTTGAGTCTGCTGTGCTGCCTCCTGCCCATCGGTCTTCCTCCACTGGCCCATCCTCAAAGCATTTTCTCTCTTTCTGTTCTTGCCTTGTCCCCCTTCCCTCCTCAGGCCTGCACGGCTCCACTCCCACCTGGTCCAGGTGTGACCAGGGAAACTTATCTTTTCGCTGCCCATCATTGCGTCTCTCTACGAACTGGAAATTTGAAAGCAGCTCTGCTGCTATCTATCATGATGGCTTCGGTGTGTCAATGGCCCATATGCCGGGTACTTCACGTGCATCATTTTCAGTTGTCACAGCCCTAAAAGCAAATATTATCATTGTCATTTTAAAGCAGGAGGGGGCTCGGTGAGGCTAAATCACCAGCAGTTACCCAGTTTATTGGAGGAAGATCCATGGGAGGGTCCACCCAGGTCTTACTCACTTTAAAGCCTGGACTCTTTCTGCTACTTTTTATCAACATTTTCTTCCTTCTATACTTTTTAGCAAATGTCTAAGAAAGTATTTTGCATATGGTAAGGTGATAAAAATGTGACTGCACACTTGTTACTATTTTAGCATACTTCATACTTAGATTTATTTGAGGTGATGGGCAAGTCAACTCCCTGCCTGGATTGTCTCTCTAAATCCAGTCTTCCTTAATAAGCAATTAATTTATATAGGCTTTTATTGAGCCCAAAAATACATCGCCATTAGAGTTACCTAAATTCACTGTCCTCGATATTCTTTACCCAGTGACGTGAACCAGGTTGATGAGGAGTCTGTGCCTCACAGACAAGGAAGATGGGAAGGAAAGGGGCCTATGTGAGTTGGAAAAGGCCAGGGTAGGGGGAAGCTGGACGATTGGAGGGTTTGCATTTTCTGAGGACCAGTGAATTGGAAGTTGTCAGGAGTCAGACTTTTGACCCAGTAAATGCCTTTGAAAAGAAGTGACAGTCCTGTCTCTGGGAGTTTTCAAGCAGGGTCTGAAGAGCCATCTCTCCAGAATGTTGTTGAAAGGATTCCTGCCTGAGAGGGCAAGACTGGGTATATTTTCAGGTCTTTACCTACTCTTAGATGTCCTGATTTCTTTTAGTTCGTGTGTAATGAGTTACTTCAAGATTTGGTGGACAACTTTTTTTTTTTTTTTTTTTTTTGAGATGGAGTCTTGCTCTGTCACCCAGGCTGGAGTGCAGTGGTGTGATCTCAGCTCACTGCAACATCCATCTCCTGGGTTCAAGTGATTCTTCTGCCTCAGCCTCCTAAATAGCTGAGACTACGGGCGCACGCCACCACACCCAGCTAATTTTTGTGTTTTCAGTAGAGACGGGGTTTCACCATATTGGCCAGGCTGGTCTCAAACTCTTGACCTTGTGATCCACCCGCCTTGACCTCCCAAAGTGTTGGGATTACAGGTGTGAGCCACCACGCCTGGCCAACAACTTTATACTTTCTGTGTTCCTACCTTCCGTGGTGCTGTGAAGCAGAACTCTCCCCACTTCTCCCCACATCCTTTCTTCTTCCTAGGTTCTACACTTTTTAAAAGGACGCCTCAGTGTTCAGTTGTCCCTTCACTAGACCCCTCTAGCTCTGTGAGGCCATGTCCCACAGGCTGTCTTTCAGGTCTAGATGTATTATGGCTGGCGACAGATGATCATATTTTTCTTTTATTCGTAATACTTGTTTTGGTTTTTCTTTTCTTCAGTGGCACGTCGGTTAATGTGTCTGGGGATCGTCTCTAATGAGGCCCAGGTTCTCCCTCTGAAGTAAATATTATCATTGTCACTTTAAAGCAGGAGGGGGCTCAGTGAGGCTAAATTACCAGCAGTTACCCAGTTTATTGGAGGAAGATCCACGGGAAGATCCACCCAGGTCTGACTCTAAGGCCTGGACTCTTTCCGTTACTTTTTATCAACTATTTTCTTCCTTCTATACTTTTTAGCAAATGTGTGGCATTTGCTAAATGCACCGATGGCATGCTACCTGCTGTTTCTTAGTCGCCCCAAACACATCACTAGGCACTGGGTGCCGAACCCCATCTGATGCCCCTGCTAGCTCAGCCTCATGATGGCCTCTTCCCGCAGGTTTCCCTGGGAGCATTGGCTAACCTGAGAGCCCCGTGTTTTCTGTAACCTTGAGTATCTCCCTGTGCATACCTCTTAAGAGTATTTCTAAAACGGCTAAATCACAGATTCTGTCTCTCATGTCCAGAGAATAATGACACATTTCATACAGCAATGTGTTCTTTGTCTTCACCCTTTATTTAATGTCTCTGAGAAGCTGCATATTTATGGGGACAGGGAAGTCCTCAGTTCCATAGCATTGAAATGAAGTCTTTGGTATAGAACATTGTGAGATTTATTTGAACTCTCAGATGAACACCGATGACCAAACACCTCAAAGAATTCACTTCTCCAGGCCTGACCTCCCCTCAGTGGAGCACACCCCAGCCAATGTAACGAGGTGTTCCTGCTCATGTGGTCAGAGTCCTGCCTTTACTGTGGCTGCTGCCTGGTTTTCAGATGTGGACACGGGACTCTTTGGGAGGGGGTCGCTGGGAGTGGCTTCTGTTTCTTAGAGGACACTTGCTGGTGACGCTGGGATGTAGAATGGTTGCAAACAGCCAGGCAGCTTTGTGACGATGTAACCAGGGTCACCTTCCTTCCCCACCAGAGGTGGATGAGTGTTCCTGGCCAGATCACGGCGGGTGCGAACATCGCTGCGTGAACACGCTGGGCAGCTACAAGTGTGCCTGTGACCCTGGCTACGAGCTGGCCGCCGATAAGAAGACGTGTGAAGGTTGGTGTGGGCCCTGCCAAGCTGGAACGAGAGGGGATATGGGACAGGTCTTAGGGGAAGTGAGCCGGAGATGGGGCAACCCGCTGGCAGTGTCGGAACAGCAGGCAGACATGGTGGAAGACCCACCTGCTTCCGAGAAGGAGAAACAGGCTGACAGCTGTCACAAACGTAGGAAAACTGCTCAAATTACGTAGACTCTGCGCTAGAGACTGAAATCGAGGCCATGGTTTATTTTCTTCTATGACTGTGTGAAATTTACGTAATTATTAAAGTAGGAAACAAAAGCAAAGAAAAACCGTGAGCACTCCAGTGACTCAGCTGAGAGCACTTTCATCCATCCTATTTCTGTCTGGCTTGTGTTCCGTCTTCCTTGTCCACCCGCGTGAATCTGCTTGTTCACGTGAATCTGCCTGTTCATGCAAGCTTGGTGTGGTGAGTGGCTTGCTGCACACAATTCTAATGCCCCTTTGGCTGAAGCCATATGGAGACCCAGCTTTGCCACCGGGTGACAGGAAAGCACAAATGCATTGTCATTGTTTTTAAAAGCAGTAAAGATGTATCCCCAATTTTGTCCCTTCAAACATTCAGTTGAAACTATTAGTTTTGAACAAAGGATGCTGAATTAATCAGTTCAAATTGTCTAACATTTTAAAATTATTATTACAGAATAGCAGGGCTCTGTTGCTGCCGGAGGGAAATCACAGCCACCTGGAACCAAAACCAAATGAATCCTGTTTCCGTTTTCCCCGTGCAGTGGCCTGTGGCGGTTTCATTACGAAGCTGAACGGAACCATCACCAGCCCCGGGTGGCCGAAGGAGTATCCCACAAACAAAAACTGTGTCTGGCAGGTGGTGGCCCCCGCTCAGTACCGGATCTCCCTTCAGTTTGAAGTGTTTGAACTGGAAGGCAATGATGTATGTCTCTGCGCTCTAATTGATTGGGGACTGTGTTGAGGGGTGACTTGGAGCTGGAAGCCAGTGAGGGGCTGGGAGGGCAGGGAGATGGCTCATGTTGGAACTGGAGCTTTGGACGGTCCCAGGACCTGTGCTGCACTGAGAAGCATATGGGGAAATGTTCTCTCCGCAGTTTCGGCGGCATGCCCTCTGCAGGTGGAGCACCTCTAGCCCTCTTGTCGCCGATACATCCAAGGAGAGTCAGGTCAAGAGTGGAGGAGGCAGGTGTTGAGGGTGGAAAGTGTCAGGACTGGGCTGTGAATCTGGGGGCTGGCGTGCAGCTGATGCGAGTAAAGGCAGTGAGGATCAGCTGGGGGCAAGGACGCTACAGACAGCCCGTTTCCTCTCTCGGGAGTGGTCGTGGATGACCAAGTCAGTTGAGGTCCAGGCAGCACCCTACAGCTGGAGCGCTGGTCAGGTATGCCGACATCTGCACCTTAGGCTGGAGGGACACCCTGGGGCGCACAAGCCATTCCTGAGACTCCCCTCCCCACCCCAGCTGAGCTGGGGATCTCACCTTGAGAATTGTGCTGGTGTAGCTGTCACCTGAGAGTGAGGACCTTTGGGATAATGGAAGAGGACCTCAGTGTCAATCACCCCAATGCATGGAGGCCGTAGTGCCAATGAGGGTATCACCCCAAAGTGAATATGGTGCAGGAAAAACAATCCTTGAAAGCAATCAATAAGACCCCTTAACAGTGAAGTTCTTTTTGAGGAAAATCATTGCTACAGCAGGAAACGTGAATTCTAGTCCTAGCTCCACCACTGCTGAACTGTGTGACTTCAGACAAATGTCCTTCCCCCTCGAGCTTGTTTCCCTGCCTGAAAATACAATGCAGTCAGATTCCGTCGGTGGTTTGCAGATTTTCCTCCTTCTCTTCCTTTTGCTTCTCCCTCCTCCTCTTCTTCTAGAAGTGGGGCCCTTTCTCCAAGTAAATTTCACCTGGAAGCCTAATATACCAAATAAATCAAAGCAAGGCTACAGTTAAGGGGATGCAGGTTTGGGAGCCCTGTGCTCTTGTGCCAGGCGGTGGCACCTCCACAGAGTCTCAGCAGGCGAGCGGGGGTCCCCCTGTGCCCTCTGGAGCTCATTCAAATGACCAGTATAGCAAGGGACCGCCCCACACACACATAGCAGGGTGCGGTGCTCAGGAAGGGTGCGGTGCTCAGGAAGCAGGCGCAGCTGTGCACTGGGTGTCTGGGGTTGGGACAGGGACTCTGGGTGATTCCCCATCATGCTCCCTTGCAGGTCTGTAAGTACGACTTTGTGGAGGTGCGCAGCGGCCTGTCTCCCGATGCCAAGCTGCACGGCAAGTTCTGTGGCTCGGAGACACCTGAAGTCATTACCTCTCAGAGCAACAACATGCGCGTGGAGTTCAAGTCCGACAACACGGTCTCCAAGCGCGGCTTCAGGGCCCACTTCTTCTCAGGTATGTGGGGGCGGAGGTGAGGCTGAGGCAATGCAGGTGAGACGGCTTTGCAGACTCCAGGCTCTGGGGTCTCTGGCCCCCTCCTCGCTCTCTCTGCCTGCTCCTGCTTCCCTCCAGGTTTGGAGGGTGCATGCCTGGATGGCTTTAAAATGTATCTACTGGTGGCTGTGTTAGTTTCCTAGGCCTGCCATAATACATTACCATAGACTGGTTGGTTTAACACAACAGAATCTTATTCTTACAGTTCTGGGGGCCAGAATTCCGAATTCCAGGTGTCTGCAGGGCCACACTCCCTCGGAAGGTTCTAGGGCAGAAGCCCTCCCTACCTGTTCCTGGTCTGTGGTGGCTCCCCCCCCGCCCCCCCCACCACCATCCTTTGCATTCCTTTGGTAGCTACGTCATCTTAATCTCTGTCTCCATCTTCACCTGCCCTCTCTTCGTCTCTGGGTCTCTGTGTGCCCTCCTTTTTTTTTTTTTTCTTTTCTTTTTTTTTTTTTTTTGAGATGGAGTTTCGCTCTCGTTACCCAGGCTGGAGTGCAATGGCGCGATCTCGGCTCACCGCAACCTCCGCCTCCTGGGTTCAGGCAATTCTCCTGCCTCAGCCTCCTGAGTAGCTGGGACTACAGGCACGCACCACCATGCCCAGCTAATTTTTGTATTTTTAGTAGAGACGGGGTTTCACCATATTGACCAGGATGGTCTTGATCTCTTGACCTCGTGATCCACCTGCCTGGGCCTCCCAAAGTGCTGGGATTACAGGCGTGAGCCACCGCGCCCGGCCCCCTCCTTTTCTTATAAGGGCTCCAGTCATTGGATTTAGGGTTGATCCTAAATCCAAGATGATTTCACCTCAAAATTTGTAACTGATTCTCCTGCAGAGACCCAATTTCCAGGTAGGATCACATTCTTAGGTTCCGTGTTGTATTAGTCTGTTTTCACAGCACACCTTAGAATGGGCAATTTATAAAGAAAAAGGTTTAATGGACTCACAGTTTCACGTGGCTGGAGAGGCCTCACAATCATGGCGGAAGGCAAAAGCACATCTTACGTGGAGAACGAGAGCCAAGTGAAAGGGGAAACCCCTTATAAAATCATCAGATCTTGTGAGACTTACTCACTACCACGAGGTCAGTATGGGGGGAACCACCCCCGTGATTCAATTATCTCCCACCGGGTCCCTCCCACAACACATGGAAATTATGGGAGCTACAATTCAAGATGAGATTTGGGTGGGGACAGAGTCAAACCATATCACACATGAATAAGAATTTTGGGAAGACACTACGAAAACCACTACAGCAGCACAATGGACACTGCTTCTCAAATAGAAGGTCTTGAACCCTCAGGGCTGGCATAGCAGCTGTCGAAACAGCCCATTCTCCTTAGCGTGGCATCTGATGCTGGACACTGGGTTGGCCCACCTGTCCTGCCAGCCCCATTCCCTCTGCAGGTGCCCTGTGCTCTGATCACAAATTATCCCTGCATTGTTCCCCTACACCATCACCCTCTACTCCTAAACCCCATCCCATTCTCTCTTCATACCCACTGCCTGTGGCGCTCTGTCTCCCTGGAACATCCTTCCTCCTTCCCTCCTTAGGAAACTCCTACTTCAACCTGAAGACCCACAATGTCACTTTCTGTAACATTCTCTGGCTTCATCTTATTCCTCTAACTTAGTCCATTTTGTGCTGCTATCACAGATTACCACAGACTAGGTAATTTAGAGTGAACAGAAATGTATTTGGTTCATGGGTCTGGAGGCTGGGAAGTCCAAAATCAAGCGGGATTATCTGGCAAGTGCCTTCTTGCTGTGTCATAACAAGGTGAAAGGCATCCCATGGGTGGGAAAGAGAGGTGAGGGGGCCAAACTCATCCTTGATCAGGACTCCACTCCTGTGATAATGAGCCCTCATGACCTAATCATGTTTAAGGGCCCCATATCTCAATACTGTTGCATTGGGGATGAAATTTATAAGACATGAACTTTGGGGGAACTTTCAAACCATAACAGCCTCTTAGCATATTGATTGTTCTTTCATCAATGTCCCCACGACACTCTCTCCCTCCCTTCCATTAGATCACTTGTCACTGGGGCCAGCTCCATGGCTGTGGCCTGTGTGATAGCACAGAGCCTGCACACAGAAGGGCCCACACTGGTTTAAGGTTCTGTTGTCATCATCTTGAAATTCATAATAGCATTTGAACAAAGTTCATCTTGCACTGAGCCTTGCACATTGTGTACCAGGCCCTGCATGTCACAGCATATTAGAGTGTAAACTGTTTACAGCAGGAACTGTATTTTGGTTATCTTTATATTCTTAGGGCTTAGCATAGAAATGACCCAATTATTTGTTAATTTTACAGATACCCAAAATTCTGTCTCCATAGGGTTTGGTTTTGTTTGGTTTGGCACTCTTTCATTGAGAAAGTCATGCCTTTTGTTCTGAGTGTCTGCTGTGGGTGCAGTACACTGCTAGGCTCAGAGATGTTGCCAGGGAAGTGCCCCAGCCCTAGACAAGCTTCCATGCCAGTTAGGGGGGCCAGGGATACACATCCTGCTAAGTCCCAACCTGGAGTACTATGGGGTAGGGGGTGCAACAAGGGCTGATGTTTGGAGAAGAGAAACCCGTGGTTGCCTGGAGCAGTGGGTGAGGCCTTTTTGCAGGATTTGGGGGTGGTTTGAGTCAGGTTTTAAGGGATGGGGAGACGTGAAGGTGGAGATAGGATGATTAGAGAGAAAGCAATCAGGGTCCCTTGTAGGGGAGGCAGTGTGAGCACAGGTTAAGGTCTCAACGGAGCACAGAGCCGGAGATGAGATGGGCGTGCACAGAGCCCTGACCCATGCTGGAAAGCCAACGGCATGAGATGGAACAGGTTGGGCAAGGTCAGGGATACACAGGGACCCTGGCCAGGTCGTGAGGGATCCTGAATGCTGGGCCGAAGAGTAGGGACCTGATGAAACAGGAAGGCTGGCTGTTTGCAGGTTCCTGAGCAGGGGAAGCCTACGCTTGTCACCTGGCCAAGCCACACCAGTCAGTGTGGAGCTGGGAGGGCCAGGCGGCTGGAGGACCGGGGCAGCAGGGCGGGCAGGAGCCACCTCAGAGGAGGATGCAGCAGAGCCTTACGGCAGGGCAGCTCCACATTTGCCGTAGAGAACCAGAGCACAGGGGAGAGGGCCAGAGCAGGGGTGAGGACCTGTGAGTCACCTGTGGAAGGACTCGGAGGAAGGAAGGGAGGGAGGTGGGTCAGTTCTGGGATGCTGGGTGGCTTCATCTCTTCTGCATTCATAAAGGGTCCTGCAAGGGCTCGTAGTTGTCCTGATGACATAAGCAGGTGAAATAGTGTTCAAGGAGACATTAATCATGGTGAACAAGAGGGTAGAGAGAGGGGAGGAAGACAGGGTTGACCCCTACAGTCATTCCGGTGATGGCAGGGAAGCAGGGGAGGGAGGCTGATCTTTGGTAAAGGCAGGAACAAGTTGGCTTAGGATAGGGTGGCTTACAAGAATCACAGGTTTGGCAAAGGCCAGCGCTCCGGTTCTCACACAGTAATTATACAGCTAACACTGTGGGCTGGATTCTCATTAATTCACCCCTCCCAACAACCCTGTGAAATGAGGATACCATTACTGTCTCCATTTTACAGGCGAGGCAACTGAGGCACAGAGGGCAGGAAGCGCATGGCCACAAGAGCTTGGAAGTGGTGGGGTAGGGCTGGGCCTCCACTGTGTCTCCAGCACTTAGCTGCTCCACGTGCAGGGGGCGCTGTGGAGTCGCAGCACGTGGATCCAGGCCTCGGGGTCAGCCACAGAGGATGCTTACTCATGGAGTGACCTTGGGCACATGAGCCATTCCCAGCCTCAGTTTCCTTACTTGTAAAGACCATCAGATAGACAGCTCCCTCTAAGGCTGGGTGAGAATTAACTTAGATAATGCATAGAGTGCTTGGGGCCGTGCCGGTTCCACAGTAGACACTCAGTAAGTGGGGCTACTGTTATGATTGTTACTATTGTGAGGAATACTAGCCTGACCTTCAGGGAGCTCCTTGTATTGAGCAGGGAGCAGGGGCAGAGAACATACAGAAAGTGTTTGGAGAATTCAACACACACCAGGGCCAAGTGCTTGGAAAATTCATCAAGTACATACACAGGAAATAGAGGTGAAGATGCTTCCCGCTTCTCTCCCCCAGCAAGGGAACAATCAGAGGGGGAAGGGGAACAATTAGAGAGGCTTCCCAGAGGAGTCCGCTTTTTTTTTTTTAAGATGGTGTTTCACTCTTGTTGCCCAGGCTGGAGTGCAGTGGCATGATCTCGGCTTCTGCAACCTCCACCTCCCAGGTTCAAGCGATTCTCCTGCCTCAGCCTCCCGAGTAGCTGGGATTACAGGCATGTGCCACCATGCCTGGCTAATTTTTTGTATTTTTAGTAGAGATGAGGTTTCACCATGTTAGCCAGGATGGTCTTGATCACCTGACCTTGTGATCTGCCCACCTCGGCCTCCCAAAGTGCTGGGGTTACAGGCGTGAGCCACTGGGTCCGGGGAGGCCACTTTTAAGTGGGATTCTCAGCCCTGAGAGATGTTGGCAAGTTGATGGTTCCTCTTAGAAGAATTCATTGATCTCCCCAGACAAGGACGAGTGTGCCAAGGACAACGGCGGGTGTCAGCATGAGTGCGTCAACACCTTCGGGAGCTATCTGTGCAGGTGCAGGAACGGCTACCGGCTCCACGAGAACGGTCATGACTGCAAAGAGGGTGAGGCTGGATACCTCCGGTTGTTGGGGGGCAGGCTGGCCTTTGCCGCACCCCATGTCCCCGTGTACACGTGCATGAGTGAGGGGGTGGGGTGAGGAGCCCTTCCACCTTCTGAGCTGAGCCCAGCCACTGCTGTCCTTGCAGGAGAGTTTCCCTCAAGGCAGCTCGCTCCTTCAGGAGGTGCCAACTTGGGGGCCCAGGGGCTCCAAGCTGAGTTATTTTGCAAATGATTAAGCCTGCAGGCACTGGAATCTGGCTGCCTGGGTCTGAGTCCTGGCTGCCTTACCCTAGCTGTGTGACCTCGGGCAAGCTATTTAACCTCTCTGAACCTCAGTTTTTTTCTTTGGCTAAAAGGGTTTAAACCTACCTCGTTCTTAAAGTTTTTGTGAGGATCAAAAGAATGCCTAGAAAGTATTTCGGACTGTCTGATGCATATTATGCCCTCAAATGTCAATAAACATCAGCCATTTATGTCTTTGTCATATATTAATTACCACATGCAGGTCTCACAGGACAACAGGATTTGGGAAAAGCTTTGCTCTGTTCTCCATTCACTCTGGGGAATTCTTCAGGGCCAGGTGGACTTTAATGTCCACTCATTCTGGAAAAAGGCTTCCTTCTGTTCTTACTCTGCCCAGGGAAGGGAATTTGAGCATTTGTGGTAAACACACAGGCTTCTAGGCCTTGGCCTCAGCCACGGAGGCCTGCAGAGGAGGTCAAGGGAAGGGGAAGATGTGGAAGACACATGCCCCGATCTCTGGAATCTACAGTACGGAGTTGGGAGAGTTGGTTGGGTGCCGCAGAGTCTGGTCAGGAGCTGCCTAGAATGTTAAAGGAGAAGCTGACATGTCTTCAGGAAGAGGTGGCCACCCTCCAAGCCCACCCTGGGGCATGATCACAGGTGGTGGGGGGAGCTTCCTGGGAGGCCAGTGGAAGAATCAAACTGGGAAGGAACAGTCAAGCCCCTGTGAAGTGAGCCCAGGCCAGGATCAGGCTTGCCTCCTGCAGTGTGGGAGCGGACAGGAGGGTCATCAACTCTCTCAAGTCCCACTCCTGCACGGTGGCTGCTTTTGTGTGGGTTGACCCCAAGGGCAGGGGTGTGAGAGCAAATGTCCCAGGAGCCGAGCCACTGCCCTGGTGGGCTCCTGTTCTTCTCTGCATGGCTGCAAACAGATGTAGCACTGAGCAGAGGCAAATCTCTTCAGAGCATCCTCCAAGCTGCTTCCTCCCCTCTCTCCCCAAGCCCTCCTCACCTCCTTCTCTAGCTTCTTCATCCTGGAGCCTCCGTGTTTGCGATACAGTCTGCCATGCTTTTTAAGCAGTGGTAGCACTGGCTGCAAAGCCAGGCAGGCCCGGTTCGAGTCCCACCTCCACTTCCTATTGGCAAGGCACTGACCCTCTCCAAACCCATTTTCTTATTTGGTAAGTGAGAAGGACTAAAGGAGAGAGGATGCCTGAAAAATGCTGACCGCAGTGCTCGATACAGAAAGAGAAATGCCAGCTATTGGCCAGGATGCAGGCAACCAACAAGTCATGGGACCGGTCTTGGCAAACAGCACTGTAACCATGACAAGCTTGGTAGACTCCAAATAAAGCCACTTTAAAAAACTAAAAGAAGCTTACAGATGGATAGTGCAGTGAGGAAGGAGACCTTTGTTAGCCAAGATGCGTTGAGCACTCACCATGGGCTGGCACGCCCTAAACCTTTCCCATGCATTCTCATTTAGTCACATATCGCCCCCACTAGGGTACCACCCTTTTACACATAAAGACATTGAAGCTTACATAAGAGCCCCAAGTCCCACAGATTGTCACTGGTGGAACCAGGACTTAGACCAAGGTCCACCTGACCCCACTGCCAGTGCTTTTAACATAGTTGCAAGGATAACTGCAATGTGGCTAGGAATAGAAAGATGGCCTGGCTCCCAAGCCACAGCCAGGAAGGCAGAAACGCCAGTGCAGGGAAACCTGCACATCCCCGAGCCAGGAGACGCGTGAGTCAGGATGCCCCACCCCCACATTTGATAAGGGACCCTGAGACAGTTAGGAGGGGAGGAGACCCCCCTAGAATGTCTCTCATGCTGCCCATAGTGAATGACTTCTCTCTCTGTGTGTGTCCCCCGCCATCCCCAGCTGGTTGTGCACACAAGATTAGCAGTTCAGAGGGGACCCTGGCGAGCCCCAACTGGCCTGACAAATACCCCAGCCGGAGGGAGTGCACCTGGAACATCTCTTCGACTCCAGGCCACAGGGTGAAACTCGTGAGTCATTTTTGTAGTTTATTGAAAATGTGGACTTGGATATCAGATGTGGGTTTGAGACTCTGCTCTGTCACTTTCCCGCTCTGTAACTTGCGGGAGGTTACTCAACATGTCCAGGTCTCAGTTTCGTTATCTGGAAAACATGGATACTAATGAAGCCTACTTCATTGGGCTGTTGTGCAGATTCAGAGACAATGCACAAAAGCTCTGTCGATCACACCTGGGCACAGCGGGCCAGCAGGGGTCCCACCCACATCCACCACCCACATCTGCAGTGCCAATTCAGATTCACTTGTTTCCAGTTTTAATTTTTTTGCAAGACAATATAGTCTCATGATTAAAAAAAATGAATCAGTACAGGAGGTTGGAAATAGAAATCAAAAGACCCCAGAGCTCTCATTCCCACTCTAGAAATGACCATGCTAAACACATTCTTGTGGATCCTTCCAGAAATTTTCTGCACACAATCATGACTATTAATACACAGGGAAATATATATGTTTTTGTTACTCAAATTCCTCTAATAAAATCCCATTCGTCTTTTTTCCACAACTTACTTTTTTTCCCCTATTTGTAATAGGAGACTAAATTCTTCATGCAAATTCCCTCTTGAATCAATTTTTTTTTTTTTTTTTAGAAGTAGTCTCGCTCTATTGCCAGGCTGGAATGCAGTGACACGATCTTGGCTCACTGCAACCTCTGCCTCCTGGATTCAAGCAATTCTCCTGCCTCAGCCTCCTCAGTAGCTGCAATGACAGGCGGCCGCCACCACACCCAGCTAATTTTTATAGAGACGGGATTTCACCATGTTGGCCAGGATGGTCTCAGTCTCCTGGCCTCGTGATCCACCCGTCTCGGCCTCCCAAAGTCCTGGGATTACAGGTGTGAGCCACCACACCCAGATAAATCAAAAATTTTTTCCCCCAAGCCTTTATTTAAAGCCCTTTTCACATATATGGCGTGTGGTGTGCACACCAAGCTCAGTTATTTCAAAGGAGAGTTGAATCTCCTAGGAAGCTCGTTTCTCAGGCTCCAGGGACTCCCACATTTTGGAGAATAAAGAAACCCTTTTGCCAGTTGGAGAATGTACTGTGCTTCCGGCAGACGGACATTTTTTTAAATGGGGTTTTCTGACTGTAGAGGTGAGTAGGACTAGCCCTCTGAACTGTGGACAGGTAAATTAGGGACAGTGAAGGAGAACGGAGACGGGGAAGCCGTGATCAACGGACTGGGGCGCCGGGACTTGCAGGATGTTTATTGGCGGGAGCCGTGAGTTAGAAGCAGAAGAGGCGAATGGGCCCTCAAGGCGTCGCCGGGTGAAGACAGGGCCTCTGACCGCAGAGTGCGCACATGCTGGGGAAACTGCCGCTGTGCTGAGAGCAGCTGTCCAGGGTCAGCGCTGAATGCGGGTGGGGATGCGCCGAGAGCGCCTTGGGGAAAGGCGCGGCTTCTCCAAGACCGCCACCTGCTGGCAAATGCTCGCGATGGCGGCGTGGGGCCCCGAGGACCGCGGGGGAGGCGCCCTCTGGCGTTGGGAGCGCGCAAACGCACACGGGAAGCGTCGGCCTGAGGCTCGTCCGCAAACGTGGTCGTTTCCAAAAGGCGTTTTCTTGGGACATGGTTGGTGGATATATTGACTGCGCTCTTTTTGCTACCATAGAATGTGCGCTGAATCTTTCTCAAGGAAGCTGGTGGTGTTCACTGCATGGGGATGGTGACAGGGCGCCCCATGGACCTCCAGGGAGCTCCCTCCCTGTTGGCCTGAGGCTCCCTCCCACTGCATGACCGTCCTGGTGCCACTGCTCCCCTGCCCCGTGTCTCTACCCACCACCCTGGCCCCAGCGCTCCCTATGTCACAGGCGGGAGAGCTCTGCCCCGTGCGGTAGTGTGTCAGAGTCATTCTGCTGGAAGCCTGCATTGCCGTGGTGGTCCTGTGTCCCCCTCCCAACCTCCATCTCCGCACTGCCAGGCTGGCCCTGCTCTTTCGAATTGCGACCCCCTAACTAATGTCCTGTCTCCCTGCTCTGTCATGTGGTCCAAGTCTTCATCTAACACCATCCCCACTCGCCTTTCCCATCTCCCTTGATGCTGGGGCTGCCATCAGTCGGCCACCTACCCAGCACCTGAGAAGCCTGCATTCAGGGCTGAAAAGCCTGGAATGGTGGGGTTTCCCTGGCCAGTGCTAGGGGACAGTCCTTAGGGGGAACAGGGAGAAGTGAGGCAGGATAACCTGGTGACGGATAGCACTGGGGGCTGGAGAAGGCTGGCTGGGGTCAAATTCCGTTTCATCTGTCTCCAGCTGTGTGAGCTTGGGCAGGCCAGCCAGCTTCTCTAAGACTCACTTTCCCCTTCTGCATGTTGGAAATAATAGCCCTTCCTTCACAGCATCACCAGAAGAAAGTGAGGAAATGCCCGTAAATGCTTGTCATGTAATAAACCGTGTCAGCCACCATGAGGATGCTGCCTAGAGCAGCATGCACCTCATACAACCTCACCTATGTCATTGGGACTGAAGGATGGTGCAGCAGAGGGCACAGGTCAACAGCAGCTTCTCTGACGCAGAGCGCCAGATCATGGCCCAACTCTGCCAGTGTGTGACCCTGGGCAAGTCATCTGACAGCTCTGAGTCTCCATTTCCTCATCTGTAAAGTGATTAGACACATCACAGGGTTGTAAAGATTAAGTTGTAAAGATTAAATGAGGCGATACTTGTAAAGCATTTAAAACAGCTGCTGACAGAGTGGGCACTCAGCCCTTGCTGGCTCTTAGCCCTAAGTGAGAGAAAAGCTGTGTGATGGGATGGAAGGAAGACAGATTTGGAATGTGGAAAGCCTGGCTCCGTCACTTACCAGCTGTCAAAATGTCAAGCATTTAAACTCTCTGAACCCCTACTCTCTCATCTGCAGTGTGGTCATCGTAGCAATAGCTCATGTAACTACCTCGTAGGGCCACTTGCTGGACCAAAAGCAAGGCGGAAGTTGAGAGCCTCTCTGCAGATGTCCCCAAGCATCGTCATGGCCACACACCCCCGGGCACAGCCAGCCGGAGGTCTGCATGCACTCCCTCGCCCCTTCCTCTCCCAGAACTGGAGAGGAGGCCCCCACCCCAGCCGAACGCCAGGCCCTGGCCTTACTTTCTGCTCTTCTGTCCCCAGACCTTTAATGAGTTTGAGATCGAGCAGCACCAGGAATGTGCCTACGACCACCTGGAAATGTACGACGGGCCCAACATCCTGGCCCCCATCCTGGGCCGTTTCTGCGGCAGCAAGAAACCAGATCCCTTGGTGGCTTCGGGCAGTAGTCTGTTTCTCAGGTTTTATTCGGATGCCTCGGTGCAGAGGAAAGGCTTCCAGGCAGTGCACAGCACAGGTACGTGGGGTGGGACGCAGCCTTCCAGCTGATGAACACTTGGACAGGAGACAGAGAGGTGCTGAAGGCAGGACAAGGACTGCCTTTTAATTCTGAGCAGGGAAGAGTGAGGGGAGGAAGGTGTGTGATAAAATGTCCATTAAAATGAAGCATCAAGCTGGGCACGGCGGCTCACGCCTATAATCCCAGCACCTTGGGAGGCCGAGGCAGGTGGATCAGCTGAGGCCAGGAGCTCGAGACCAGCCTGGGCAACATGGTGAAACCCTGTCTCCACTACAAATACAAAATTAGCTGGGTGTGGTGGTGGGTGCCTGGAATCCCAGCTACTTAGGAGGCTGAGGCAGGAGAATTGCTTGAACCCTGGAGGCAGAGATTGCGGTGAGCTGAGATCGCACCACTGCACTCCAGCCTGGATGACAGAGTGAGAGTCTATCTCTAAAAATAAAAATTAAAAAATGAAGCATCAGCAACCATAGGGAAAAGAGCTGTTTTCTTTCAGTGTCTTTAACTGACACAATTTGAAATCGACGACCCTTTGTTAGTGCCCCATTTTTTTCCTTCCTCCTTTTCTTCCTTTCTTCCCTTTTTTTTTTTTTTTTTTTTTTTTTTTTTTTTTTTTTTTTTTTTGAGACGGAGTTTCGCTCTTGTTACCCAGGCTGGAGTGCAATGGCGCGATCTCGGCTCACCGCAACCTCCGCCTCCTGGGTTCAAGCAATTCTCCTGCCTCAGCCTCCCGAGTAGCTGGGATTACAGGCGTGTGCCACCACGTCCAGCTAATTTTTTGCATTTTTTTTTTTTTATTAGTAGAGATGGGGTTTCACCATGTTGGCCAAGATGGTCTTGATTTCTTGACCTCGTGATCCACCTTCCTCGGCCTCCCAAAGTGCTGGGATTACAGGCGTGAGCCACCGCGCCCGGCCCTTCTTCCTCTCTTTTAAAAATGTATTTTGGCTGGTCACGCTGGCTCACACCTATAATCCTAGAACTTTGGGAGGCTGAGTGGGGAAGATTGCTTGAGCCCAGGAGTTCAAGACCTGCTAGGACAAGATGATAAGACTCCATCTCTATAAAATAAAAACTAGACAATATAGCGAGGCGTGGTGGTCTCAGCTGCTCGGGAGGCTGAAGCAGGAGAATCGCTGGAGCCCAGGAACTCAAAGCTGCAGTGAGTTCTGATCAAACCGCTGCGCTCCAGCCCAGGTATTTTGCTGGTCTGTAAAGTCCAAAAGTTGTGTAACAGAGTGGTGAAGGCAGCCCTTTATCCCTCTAAGGACCAGTTCTGGAAAGTGAAAATGTTTCTGTTCCCCAAGATTTTTTCCTCCACTCAAAATGTAAATAGCATTATTGGGTCCTTTGGTGGGCAGTGTATGTGCTTATAACTTACATTATCTACTTCGTTAAGTAGAAGAGTGCCAGTAATAAATTTGGCTCTGCTCTTTAGCCATTAAAATGTTACCACCTAGGACTAGTGCCCACGGAAGCCAATCTGACCCTTTAATCCTGATGTACAATTGTGTCCTCTGTCAGAGCCGGTGGCCACCCAAAGCCCACTCGGCTTCTGTAATGTTGAGTCTGAGATCACCATCATGGGACCCTGTGATCCTTTTAACAGTCCCTATCCGCACTTTTTTTTTTTCAGTACCAGAAATATAAATCAGGTCAAACAATATAGTAGCCAGCATCCCTCGCACACCAGAAAACACCTCATGGTTTGTGGAACCCTGTCAAACTCCCTGAGAAGTTCTAGCCTACCCCAGGGAAGTTTAAAAGCTGTTAACTAGTGATTTCGCCCTCTTGTCCCTGCAGATAGAGACCAGGAAGAACATAGGTGCTCCAGGGTCCCGGCAGGAAATGGGGGCACATTCAGTCATTATTTGAGGAGAAGTTAATGAAGGGACACGTTGTAAGGGGGCGGCAGGGACTGGGACACTGCAGGACAGTGAAGCCACCAGAGCTAGGAGCTGCAAGGCTAGGAACTGCAACCCCAGGCCCAGGATGAGAGGAGGGAGAGTTCCTGGAAGCTGGAGACAGAGAGGGATGCAGAGATGCTCCGGCTGCAGCTGTGGCCCAAGTGGAAGAAAAGCTGTGACGATCAGGGGACTAAATGCCTTCACCTCTCTCCTCCCTCCCTCTCTCTCATCTGCTGGTGTTCCCCACAGGTGAACCTGCAGCAGAGGCTGCAGGGGTCATCGATGCAGGCCAGGGGTCTGTTCCCAGGGCCCAGGCACATGGGGAGGGTTTGGGAGTCTGGTGGGATGGGTGGGAGGTGTCCTGCCCTGCTCTGTGCTCATTTCATGACCACCCAGCTCTCAGGAATTTGAAATTTCCCAAAGACCGGTTAGTCCTGGAAGACATTCTAAGCCAGAGCCAACACAGGACTAAGAATGGGCAGTCAGACAGGACTGGGGCCAGGCGGGGTGTGGAGCTCCAGCGGGGCCTGGGAGCGTTAGGAGCCAGGCGGCCCAGGATCTACAGAATCTACAACAGCATTTGCCTGGGCCCCTGGGGGACATGGAGCACGCTGGGAGGGGAGGAGTTGTGCAGGGATTTGCCTCCAGAATTTCTGGTGCTTGCTCATCTAGACCAGTCTTATCTATCTTTTTTATTTTATTTATTTATTTACTTTTTTTTTTTTTTTTTTTTTTTTGAGATGGAGTTTTACTCTGTGGCCCAGGCTGGAGTACAGTGGCACAATCTCAGTTCACTGCAAACTCCACCTCCCAGGTTCAAGTGATTCTCCTGCCTCAGCCTCCCGAGCAGCTGGGATTACAGGTGCCCGCCACCACACCCACCTCATTTTGTCTTTTTAGTAGAGACGGGGTTTCACCATGTTGACCAGGCTGGTCGCAAACTCCTGACCTCAAGTGATCCACCCACCTCGGCCTCCCAAAGTGCTGGGATTACAGGCGTGAGCCACCATGCCCGGCCAATGTCCATTTTATTTTATGTGGACTTACGTGTCCAAGACACAAGGTACTATATATAGGACCAAGGCCAAGCAGAATTACTGTCCTTGTATGATTAAAAAAAAAAAACACCCAGAAACAAAGGCTACAGAATACAAGTCCAGAGTCTGAGGTGCAGCTCACCTGTGACACCCACAGGGACCTCAAAGTTGGCCTACAGTCCATGCTCTCAACTGCGAGCACCAGTCAAGTACGAGCTGAGGTTTCCAGGATTGAGAGCGCACAGGCGGTTCCGATGTGCTTTTATCGCCCTCTGTTGGCAGAAATGACAAATTACAGCCAGTCCGTCGGGCGAGTGTGAACCCTTCTCAGAGGCCTCCAGCATTTCAGGGAATAAAGTGGCAAACAGACCCACCCACACCCCAGCGACCAGCCAGGTGGACCATCCACTGGCTCCATGCCTCCATAGCTGGAAGAAGCAAAAAGCAGCCAGCTCTTTTCAATGGCATGCTCACGTATTCTCAAGCTGGGAACAGGAGACATATAAGGGCCGCTTTTTTTTTTTTTTTAAACCTTGGCTTGTAAGGGCCACTTTTTGGTTGTTGTGTTTTGAGACAGAGTTTCTCTCTTGTTGCCTGGAGTGCAATGGCGCAATTTTGGCTCACCTCAACCTCCGCCTCCCGGATTCTCCTGCCTCAGCCTCCCAAGTAGCTGGGATTACAGGTGCCTGCCACCACGCCCAGCTAATTTTGTATTTTTAGTAGAGACGGGGTTTCTCCATGTTGATCAGGCTGTTCTTGAACTCCTGATCTCAGGTGATCTGCTTGCCTCGGCCTCCCAAAGTGCTGGGATTACAGGTGTGAGCCACAGTGTTGTAAGGGCCACTTTGCATCTGCGAGGGAGCCCCGACCTGGGGGAGCCAGGGGCTTCTGTGTACCCCTCCATCAAATGGGGTGATGAGACTACCTGGCCTTGCCTGCCAGGCCCACCCCAGGGAAAGCTGAGTGGACGCAGGCGGGAGGCACGAAGGTGTCCTGTGCTGAGGGGACATCTCCCTTCTCTCTGCTCCAGAGTGCGGGGGCAGGCTGAAAGCCGAAGTGCAGACCAAAGAGCTCTATTCCCATGCCCAGTTTGGGGACAACAACTACCCGAGCCAGGCCCGCTGTGACTGGCTGATCATGGCGGAGGACGGTTACGGCGTGGAACTGACATTCCGGACCTTTGAGGTTGAGGAGGAGGCCGACTGTGGCTACGACTTCATGGAAGCCTACGACGGCTACGACAGCTCAGCGCCCAGGCTCGGCCGCTTCTGTGGCTCTGGGGTAAGTCCCAGGGACGCTGGGGCCAGGGCAGAATGTGACGATTCACAACCTGAGTTGTGGAGTCAGACACAGCTGGGTTTCCGGCCTGGAAACCCCCGCCACTTAGGAGCAATGGCCAGGAGGCTCATTCTGTGGGAGCGGAGTGGGGAGCAGGAGAACTGTCAGAGAGGAGGTCAGGAGGCAGCCAGGGACCAGTCCTGGAAGGCCCCTTACCGAGGCCAGCCACGGACAAGCACTTTCCTTTTGGGACTTTCTCCCTGTTTTTACAAAGGCTTTCCCTGTCCCCTGCTTTTTTTTTTTTTAAGACAGTCTTGCTCTGTCACCCAGGCTGGATCTCGGCTCACTGCAAAACCTCTGCCTCCTGAGTTCATGCAATTCTCCTGCCTCAGCCTCCCAAGTAGCTGGGATTATAAGTGTGCACCACCACGCCCAGCCGATTTTGTATTTGCAGTAGAGACAGGGTTTCATCATGTTGGCCAGGGTGATCTTGAACTCCTGACCTCAAGTGATCCACCTGCCTCGGCCTCCCAAAGTGCTGGGATTACAGGCATGAGCCACCATGGCTGGCCTCTCCCTCCATTTTTATTTGGCCTTCAGGCTTTAAAAATATTTAATTATGGGCCAGGCATGATGGCTCCCAGCACTTTGGGAGGCTGAGAGTGGCTCACTTGAGGTCAGGAGTTCAAGATCAGCCTGGCCAACATGGTGAAACCCCATCTTTACTAAAAATACAAAAATTAGTCGAGCGTGGTGGCATATGCCTGTAATCCAAGCTACTTGGGAGGCTGAGGCAGGAGAATCGCTTGAACCTGGGAGGTGGAGGTTGCAGTGAGTGGAGACCATGCCATTGTACTCCAGCCTGGGTGACAAAAGCAAAACTCTGTCTCAAAATATATATATATTTATGTTTTTATATATTCCTAATATTCACATTTTTCTCCTCAAGCAAAACCAGATGCCTCTGAAAATTACAAATCACTTACTATACACACGATGATTGTGCTCAAGGTCATTATCAGTTTTCTCATTACTGTCTTTTTCAGTGGGCCTGTTATGTTTGCTGCTTCTCAGCACCTGACATAGGGCTTGGCGTGTAGGTGGTGCTGGGTGGGAGTTTGTGCCCTGGACAGTATGGTATCCTGGCCACTTCCTGGCTGCACCACACTGGATGCTGCCCATGCTGGGCCCCAGCCCTCTCCTTTCTGTTGCCTCCAGGCCTGGTCACTTAAGCTTCTTTGCTATTGGCTGGATTGATATCACATCATTTTGGAGTCACCAGTGCTCCTTGTGCTAAACAGAAACTGAAATTGGCATTTATATTTGAGTAATTCCCTTCATCTTCTTTCAGCCTCTAAAAAAAGACAAATGACGAAGTGGCACTTGACCAATGCACCACCTTTGATACAGTCTTTCAGACTTTGGGGTCTGTGGAAAGGAGCCTCTGGGAGGGTCCTGAGCAGTTAACTGTAGGGGAAGCCCACTTTGGCTCCACTAGAACCTCGCAGGCAACAGCCTTGGAATGTGGCTCCGTTCACAGACCACCTGGCAAAACCTTTCTGACACATATGGTGGCTCCATCCCATTTTTTGTCCTTGGATGGGACAGAGGCCTGAACAATGGTCTTTGTTTCAGGTCTCCTGGGAGTCATATCACAATGATGACCCTGGAGCTCAATGATTCATGGTGCATCACTTTATAGTCAGAAGGACCTGAGCGTGGGTCCTGCCCCTACCTGTGAGAACTTGAGTCTCAGTTCCCTGTAGTGAAAGATGGGGATAGTACCTGCCTTATAAGTTTGCTGTAAAGTTTACGTAAGATCTGGATGTTCCTAGAGCAGCACCTGACTGACCTGTGTACTTAATAATAGATTCGATATAAGCTATGCACCTGGGATCCTTTTTGGATGAGCAGGGCCCACAAAATTCTCTGCAGCAGAATTTGCAATGCTTTTTTTTTTTTTTTTTTTTTTTTTTTTTTGAAAGGAGCTTGTTTTGATGCCCTTCAGAGGCTCTGGTACCAGGGACGCATCCTGTGTGCTTGCGTAAGATCTGGTCCCATCCTCCTCATTTTCAATTGTAATCACAGCTAAATTCCTTCTCGTTTTCCTTTCTCCTCTCCTCAGCCTTTGGAAGAAATCTACTCCGCAGGAGATTCCCTGATGATTCGATTCCACACAGACGACACCATCAACAAGAAAGGCTTTCATGCCCAATACACCAGCACCAAGTTCCAGGATGCCCTGCACATGAAGAAATAATGCTGATGTTCTTGAAAGACAGGCGTTGAGAATGTTTTGTTTTCGTTTTACAACAATAGCACCTTGAAAATCTGCCCTAAAACAGTGTACAGTATTTTTCTCAAACAAACACTCAGAATCCAGTCTTGGAGGTATATATTTGAATGAAAGTACATGTAAGTTTGGCCAACAAGGTGGAGAGAAAATGTTCTTTTGATTCTGGCTGCAATGTTATCACTCATGAACTGTTAAAGAAAATTAGGGTTGAAGCCTCTGACCATTCAAGCTATGCTTGTACATACCCATTCTCCCTGTCCCTTGCTCCCATGTGGCAAAAGGCCAGCCTTGAGGTTGGTCGTTCCTCTAATCTGGACTTGCTTGCAAAGGTGCCAGGCTCTCTTCTGTCTATGTTGGGCATAAGAGATGAAAGCTTGGCCATGACTAGTGTGTGACTCACAGCTTTGGCTGGAATTGTTTTCTTTCTCTCTACCAGGGACATGTCAACCAAGAAACCTGAAAATATGGATGTCAGGACTTAAAAAGGCATCACACTGAGCAGTGTTCACAGAGGGAGTTTCGAGTATGAGAATCATTGTCATGAAGTTAGGAGACCACAGGCCATTTCTCCGAGTCGTTGGCTCTCCTTGTCCCTTGGGTTCCCCGCATCCCTAATTACAGTGGGGGCTAAGGCATCCATTGTGAATGCGCAAAACATTTGCTGGCAAGAGTTCTGTCTGCTGAGAAGACAATATTGTGGCTCGTCCTGATAGTTTTTCATTCATTGACTTTGAGAAGAGTCCACCTGTGCTTGGAATTCCATGGGCTTCGAAGAACATTTCTTCTTTTAGCTTTGGAGGCACTTCCCGTGGCACCTGGGACTCTTTGACATCCAGTTCGAACTGCATTTGCAAACTGTGCAAAGACATCTTATGAGGGACCAATTCAGGCCCCTCGTGGGGTGAACACTGCTGAAGACTGGTTAATTATAAGTTATGTAAAAATCATCGTCTTGTGGAATAAGCCGATCAGTGACTAGCTTCCTGTAGCCAATCAGGTTAAAGAGTGCATTGGTAACATTGCTTAGATTAACTAGTATTCAATCACCAACTTGCAATCAGAATTCACAACACCTGGCACTTGTTCTAGAGAAGTGTAGCGGATGTTTACATAATTGTAGCACCTCAAGGTATAATTTAAACAGTGAGGTAGTTTTGAATGGCATTTCATTAAGGCATCTATGGGCATTATGAGCTAAAAGCTGTGGTATGTTAGCTTTAAAAGAGTATTTATGTTGGAATAATTTTTAAGTAATGTTTACATAACTAAGTCCTGTTTGGTTGGTGTGGAACACAGGGCGGCACACGCATGTTTTTGGTTAGAGCCAAGATCGCTCCCATGCACCAGAATTCCTTTGGAATGAATCAGCATCATTTTAGACAAAGTGTTTGTAAAAGGTAAAAGGTTATATTTTTTACAGATCAGAATATGCCACCAGAGGACTCTGTCTCATTAAAATGACTGCTGGGAGCAAAAACTAGAATGATACAAAGAAAAGTCAAAGAAATGCATGGGAATACTTTTTCCTTAAAACAGAAAAAAATTAAAGTATTATTATTAATATATGTCTGTATATATGTATGTATGTAAAAGATCAGCTGTCAAAGCCTTAATCAATGCAGCATGGAGCACGCCAACCCCTGGCCTCCGCTTTGCTGTGGGTCCTGCAGGATTGGCTCTCCGTTTCCCGCCTCTCTTTTCACCAGGTTCTGTTTTGGCCTTTCTTGGCCCTGGACTGAGGTTCAGCCGACACTCTCATATCGTGCATGTGGCAGACCCTGCCCGGCATGCGCTTTGATATGGCAAATGGAGCAGCTGACCTTCTGGCTCCAGTCCCATCTGCCTGTTAGGGTAGATTCCATTTCTCTAATTTTTGTATGTTCTGCGGTTTTATTTGGTCTCATCTTGTCTATCAGAGTTGAAAATGGAACTGGGATACTTAAGATGGCTGTTAAGATTCTTTGTCCAAGGAAATCAAAGTTTTGTAGTTTCAAGCTTTAGAAGTCTAAGCAAGATTAACCCATTTCATGGAAGAGTGGGAGGGAGTCAGAAACAGTCCGGACGGTGAAACAATGATACTTCTTATCTCTTTTGTATGAACATTTTCAAAAACACACAGCTTCAGTGATTGTCACCATATGGCCAATTTGCAGCAATGGGATCCTTATGAAAAACCTTTATTTAGGCCTCCAGTGTGACGTATCTGCACAAAAGACAAGCCCTGATTCAGCTGGGGCTAGCTGGGCCGCTTCTCTGGAAGCCCACATTTGTGAGGACTTGGGCATGACACAGGTTCTTGCGAAGAACCTCGAGGCTGGCTTCACAAGAGAGAGTCCATGCAGCAGAAGGACCCAGGCCTCTCTGCTTGGTGCTTGCAGTTGCTCAGTGACCGGCCTGCAAACATCCCCAGAAGCAAACAGAGGTAGAAGATACCGCTGCAGCCTACTTTGCGCTTTAATTGGGTGCCAAGCTTTGGTGATGACACTAAGCTGCAAGAATAGTTTCAGTTCAGAGAATTGTCTTAGGACAAACAGCCTGATGAAGAATTTGGGGGTCTGGGTTTCCAGCCTGGCTCAGTTCTGCTGTAACCTGGTCTAGCAAAAGCTAAAGCTGATTGCAGGGCAGGAAAAGGTCTGGAATCAACTTCAGCCAGCGGAATGTCTTCAATTAGAGAAAGTGAGGCTGTTTATTGACTCATTATTCCCTCTATTTTCCTCTGAGGTAAATACGTAGGGTAAATCCCTCTAAGATGAAGTTTCCCCTCTATTTCTGTTTTACAATTTCTCTCTAAAGCAAGCTTGTTCAACCCATGGCCCAGGTCGGTTTTGAATGTGGCCCGACACAAATTCGTTAACTTTTTTGAAATATTCTAAGTTTCTTTTTGTGATTTTTTTTTTTAAGCTCATCAGCTATCGTTAGTGTATTTTTTGGCCCAAGACAATTCTTCTTCTTCCTATGTGGCCCAGGGAAACCACAAGATTGGACACTCCTGCTGTAAAGTTTAGTATCACTCACAAATTGCTCAGCTGGTTTAAATAATTCGTAAAATCCTGCTAACTAGCAAATTCACTTTGGGATTTTTCTATTGATTGGGTCCCTTGGGTAACTTTCAGATTGGTACTGTTAGCATTCCATTTGTGAACGAATGTTCCCTTGGCTTCAGCAGATGTTTTTAAAGTTTCTTTTGTAGACTGAACTTCTGAACAGCAATCCCAAATGCGTAAAAGTTTTCTTTTTAAAAAGGAAAACTGTTTAAAGTGTTATATGTAAACATATCAGTATTTTTAATTTTGTGTAACTTTGTTTCATGAAATGATGTCAGTTTCGAAGAGAAAGTGGAGAGCACCTAACATATGTCTCTACCTAGAAAGGATGGTTTCATTAAAGAATGTGGATTTATTGATGTGTCTTGGGTTTGTATTGCTAATTCAGACCAAATGGGTCCTCTTGGTGATAATTTTCTCCAATATCACAAGAGCTTGGGAGAGAAGACTAAAAGGGGGCTCTTCTCTACAGCCTTCCACTTTCTGGTGCCTAGTTCCAGCACAGAAGTCACTTATGGACTCAGAAAGTCATGAGCAAAGCTAAAGATGGCTTTCAAGTTTGTTCCCTTTCTTACACCAAAACAAGCTGAAAATCTGACAGCTAATTGTTGTGAAGATGTCTGCTGCTGAAACCATCTAGATTTGGGAGACATCTTCCCGTTGCCCCTCGGCTCCCATTGCCACCCTCCTCTATCTGGACATGTGTCTAAGGACATCTGACATCCGAAACTAAAGGTCATGGCTCCTAGTAGGTGAACCCCCTGCTGGGGGCCCTGGAAGTCCCTCCTTCCACTTGCCACTTCAGGTTTAGGGGTGGTAATGACACCCTACTTGTCTAATCCTGGGGTGCTGCACTTCCCCTAAGGGGGACATTTATAGGTAGTCATTTTAATAAATCCTTTTCAAATGTAGTAAATTGAGTATACATTACTTGTCTCCTGCAAGGATCCTGACTGATACAGGGTCATTTCTTTTTTTTTTTTTTTTTGAGACGGAGTTTCACTCTTGTTACCCAGGCTGGAGTGCAATGGCGCGATCTCGGCTCACCGCAACCTCCGCCTCCTGGGTTCAGGTAATTCTCCTGCCTCAGCCTCCTGAGAAGCTGGGATTACAGGCACGTGCCACCATGCCCAGCTAATGTTTTGTATTTTTAGTAGAGACGGGGTTTCACCATGTTGACCAGGATGGTCTCGATCTCTTGACCTCGTGATCCACCCGCCTCGGCCTCCCAAAGTGCTGGGATTACAGACTTGAGCCACCGCGCCCGGCGATACAGGGTCATTTCTAACACAAAGACAGGGACTCCATCCGATAAAGGACACCCTCTTCAGGTTGATTAGATGAAGAGGCTTTGGGGTATGTTTAGAGTTTTGTGGGTTATATTACAGAAGTGTAACTATGCAACGGTGTTTTTAGAAGCATTCAGATTGTTCTCAATGCAAAATCCTTTAACGTATGCGGTTGTTTTGTGTTATACTTAGTCTGAAGATTTTATGACTTCTGCCCATTTGCAGTCATCAATTACATAGAGATGACAGATGACTGATAGGTGACAAATAGATGATATAGGCAGATGGATAGGTGATAGGGAAAGAAAGAGAGAGAAGAAAGAAAGAGAGAAAAAGAAACGAAAGAAGGCAGAAAGGAAGGAAAGAAGGAAGGAAGGAAAAAAGACAGCTATAAATCTTCAGCAACGTTTATCTTCAAGACCTAACAATGAGTCCCAGTGGTGCAAGGGTATGCATGCTGGTATATCAGTCAGCACAGGCTAGCTTGTGCTGCAACAACAACTATCCCCCAAATCTCAGGGGCTTTATATAAGAAAGAGTTATTTCTTGTCTACACTACATGTTCATTTCTGGTCATCTGAAAACTCTTCTATATCATCCTCAGTCAGGACCAGGCTGATGGAGCAGCAGCATCAGAACATTGCTGGGTTTGATAATACAGGGGAAAAGAGGGTGACACATGACACACTGGCTCTTAAAACTGCCTGGAAGTGACATATTCCTTCTACTCATTTCATTGATCACAGCAAGTCACATGGCTATCCTTAACTTCATGACAAGAATAAGGCAAACTAATGACATTGGTAGGCAGAAGTAATGACTCTCATGTAATATTTGTAGATAGGAAAATGACTATAAGTTTTTTTTTTGTTCTAAAATTTCATTTTATCCCCAACTTATTACTAATATTTTAGATAAAGATTTCTGAAAATTAGAACAAGGCCACTGCAACAATGTTTGTATACCCACAAAATTCATATACTGAAATCCCAGTCCCCCATGTAATAGTATTGGGAGGTGGGATATACAGTCTAAGAACAGATTAGAACACCAGCTGTTACCCCTAACTACTCATTAGCACCCCCTGGGGATGACCCTGCCCAACTCTGATCAATTAACTCAGAATCTCTGGGGGCAGGGCCCAGTCATCAAGAGTTTTTATAACCATCCCCCCCACCACCACTTAGGCGATTCAGGTGTGCAACCAGGATGGACAACCCACCTGATTAAAGGCAATCTGGTCTCCACTGTGCCACTAAACTGCTCTTGTTAAGGTGACCAGCAACCCCCCTACTGGGAATCAAAAGGCTCCTCTGACCTCTTCAGAGGCTACCTCTCAGCAGCAGCTAATACAATTAACCAACATCCACTCCCCTTCTTGAATCAAATTTCTTTCCTGTGATCCCTAAACTTCTCTGACTTTCCTGCCTCACTCAACTCTCCCTGCTGGCAACCCCACTTCTTCCAGGCTGTTAAATGTCTGTGAACCCCTGGGCTCTGTCCTGGCCCTCTGCCCTGTCTACCTGCTCATCCAAAGGCCGCCCTCTCCCAAACAGACATCTTCAGCCCAGGCTCCTTTTATCCAATCGCCTACTTGGCACCTCCACTTGGACAGCCAGGTGTCTCCACTAGGCTACCCAGGTGTAAGGGTAATCTGTTTCTCCAGTATTACCTGCCTAAGCCAATAGTGTCTCCATTTTTGCTAGTGAAGCCTCAAACCCAGGAGTTGGCTCTGTTCTTCTCTTTCCCTCGTCTTCTCTCCCCTCCTCTGCTCTGTTTTTTTTTTATCATCAAATCCCACTGGCTCCGCCTCTGCAGTCAGTCACACACTCATTCCCTGCTCTCATCCTGAAGCAGCCACCTTCATCGCCCACCTGGACTTCACTCACCAGCCACCACCTGCTTCCACTCTCTTCCCCTGTAATCCTTGCTCCACAGAGAAGCCCCAGCAATCTTGGTCACCAGCAATTAGATCATGCGTTTCCCACTGAAAAACCCTTGGGAAAGGCTTTAAGGATGAAAATCTTACCATGCCCTCCCATGGCACATCAAAAGGGCTCAAACTCACTCCATCCTTAGCCCCTTCTGGGGTCACTCCCTGGTTTACGTTGCTCCAGCCAACCAGCTTCCTTCCGGTTTTGCGAGTGCACCAAGCTTGCAGAGGTTAGCATTTAGCGTGGCTGCTGCCTGGGACTCTGCT